ATTTTCGCTCGATTTTATTTACATAGTCACAATTATTGTTCTGTCCTACTTCTTCTATTTCCAGACAACGTAAATGTATTTTTTACGATGAAGTCAAGCTGACATATTTTCCCGAAGAGTACACATTTTCGTCGTGCATGAAGGAGTGCCGTATGAAAAAGGCCATTAAGCTATGTAAATGCTTGCCACCGTTCTATAAGCCGGTCGGTAAGTTATGATATTTTCCCCTCTTTTTTACAAAAATTTAATTTTTTTGTCCTTTCCCAGCCAATGTGAAAATGTGTGGCCTCAACGATATGGATTGCCTAACGGAATATCGTAATAATATCACCAACATCAAGGATTGCATGCAATGCGAATTGAGCTGTTCGAAAACGGTCTATAATATTGAGAAATTGATTAAGAAGTGGGTGATAAATTTGGATATATATTTTGAGTTATGTTAAATTCTTTTTTTTTTGTGATCTACAGCATTGAACGTCCTGATGCTCCTGGGGTTTTGGTGGAATTTCTAACCTGGCCCATTATCCGCTACAAACGTGAAGTATTATTCGGTTGGGTTGATCTGTTGGTATCATTTGGTGGTATTGCCAGTTTATTTTTGGGTTTCTCTTTGCTGTCTGGTGTGGAGATTATTTATTATTTTACGCTGCGGGCCTGTTGCATGGTCTATAAGAATCGGGTAAGAACATTGAAGCAGCTAGTATATATTAGTTAGAGAGAGTATATTTTGTATTGATATTTTCCACCAATATATACCATTAGCCGCGGATGTTTTAAAAATAATTCTTCAGGGTCTACTATTAGGCGAAGATTTTTTTTAAATATTTTTAAGGTCTACTTTCAGGAGTGGATTTTTTAAAAATTATTTTCAAAGTATACTTTTAGGCGTGCTTTTCTAATAACTTTTTTCAAGGCATACCATTAGGCGTGGATGTTTTAAAAAATACTTTTTCTACTATTAGGCGAGGATTTTAAAAACATGAATAGAATGATGTGTGCCAAGTTTCGTGAAAATCGGTTCAGATTTGGATATAACTCCCATATATATTTTCGTCCGATTTAAGGTAAATGGTGTACCAAAGTCCCTATATATCAATCGATTTGCACAAAATTTGGCACAGCGTAAAGAATTAGGTCTAGAATGATATGTGTCAAGTTTCCTGAAAATCGGTTCAAATTTGGATATAGCTCCCATATATATTTTCGTCCGATTTAAGGTAAATGGTGTACCAAAGTCCCTATTTATATTTCGATTTGCACGAAATTTCGCATACCGTGCTGAATTAAGTCTAGAAATATGTGTCTTAAATTTCGTGAAAATCGGTTAATATTTAGATATAGCTCTCATATATATTTTCGTCCGATTTTAGGTAAATAGTGCACCAAAGTCCCTTTATGTTCTTCGATTTGCACAAAATTTGCACCAAAGTCCCTTTATATTCTTCGATTTGCACAAAATTTGGCGTAGAGTACTGAATTAAGTCTATAAAGATGTGTGTTAATTTTTGTGAAAATCGGTTCCGATTTAGATATAGCTCCCACATATACATTATATTTTTAACAACGCGGCGTACCATATAGCGTGTATCAATTTTGCTATTAATCATTTTCAATAAATTTTCCCCATGTTACGCAGACGACTCTAAATCTGCTCGAATGAAATTAAAGTTAGGATAGGTTGGAGAAAGAGGGGACATAGACATGCAATTGTTAGGATACATATGTACAATATACCCAAAGTGGTGAAGGGTGTCATATAGTCGGCCCAGTCCGACTTTACTACTTTCCTTACTGGTTTTAAAGTCTACATTTGGGAGTGGAATTTTTGAAAAAAAATTTCGAGGTATACTATTAGGCGTACTTTTTAAAATATATATTTTTTTCAAAGTATACTATTAGGTGTGGATTTTTTAAAAATTATTTTCAGGGTCTATTATTAAGCATGGGTTTAGTAAAAGTTATTTCTCAAAGTCTACTATTAAGCGTGGATGTTTAAAAATTATTTTTTAAGATCTAGATTTATTGAGGAGAGACCTTTTTTGAAGATTCATAAGATTGTTCATTTATTTGCTTAATAAGTATTATTTTTGGCCTTTAGCAACAATTGGAAGAAATCGAAGAGAGAATACAAAATCAACCTCCACCACCAATCAATATGACCTTGGGTATGAAATCGTATACTGCTCCGATTGTGGTTACCGAAAAACAGCCATTGAATAGCGATGATGGCTTAAATGCCACCAATGATAAGCCACCAGATTACAATGAAATTGGTGGACGTCGCAGGAAGGCGGATAAGGTAGGTTCAGACAGAAACTTGGCAGGTCTCTTACAATAGTTTTTTTTTTTTTTTTTTTTTTTGTTCTTTACAGGATTATACAACCTTTGCAAAATCCATGTACAAGACCCCAAAAACGTTACCAACGTATGCTGATGCCACAACTAACAATTGGGAATATGGCCACTATTTGCCTTAAATGTGGAAGGAGGAAAGGTTTTTGTTTTTAATTATTGTTAATAGCTTGAGAAAAAAATAAAAAAATCATAGAAATAAATATTTAAAATAATTTAATCCCATATAGATCTGTACGTTATCTAGAGATTTGAATGTGGATTTTTTGTATAAAAAACAGTAAGGAAAACAAAAACACAAATTCGGATGGAGCGGACTATCCTACACCACAAATTGTGCTCCTAAGACTAATATTCGTACCAATTTAAAAATTTCTAAAAATTTTTATTGCATTCTATTGTTAACATAAACTTGAACTCTCGATCGTAGGGCAAATATATACGGAAACTCTGAACCGATTATAAAATCTTTCTATGTCCAATTTGATACGAAATGCAAAATGTCGTCCCAATCCGAAAAAAAAACTTTGGCTAGTTGGTGCACCATTAACAGGAAATCGGACGAAACTTTAATGAGAGCTATATCGAAACTTGAAACGATTTTAACGAATCTTAATGTATACTCTATCTGACAAAATTTCGTTCAAATCGGAAAAAAACTATGGTTTTTTTTTGTGCACCATTCACATAAAATCCCTTATGTGAATATCCCTTGCCCTGGATGACGTAGGGGATGATAGATACCAAGCAATGGCTCTGATTGGCTTTCACATGGCGAAGTTCAGGCTTATTTGGGTCCCTCTTTCATCTCAATTGTGGACACTGACCTCCCCGCGGTGTCACCTGGGTTAGCTATTTTTCATCACCCGCTGAAATAGTGAGCTTATATGTGCCGCGAGTTCACCCATAAAAACTATAAAAAAATAGGACTGAGGCGTCGGGTTAGTTGCACACAATCGGAAAACCCCTCCTACTATGAAAAAGCAAAGAAAAAGAAAACCAAACCCCCCAAAGGTTGACGACCCCCACAAACGTATAAACCACGATCTGCGAATCTGCACATGGAATGTGCGCAGTATTCGCTTTGGCGAATGTACTCAAGAAGTGGAAAGGCGATATTATTGCCTTACAGAAAATGTTATGGAAAGGGACTGGCGTAAGTAAATCATATGATTACGCCCTGAATTATAGCTGCCATGAAACGAGACATGAATTTGGCTGCGGAGACAGGAGAATAAAAGACCTCGTCTCCAGATTCACTCCAGTAGATGATCGAATTGCTATAATCCGTATAAAAGCGAAGTTCTTCTACATCAATCTCATTTGCGCCCTTGCTCCGACCGAAGACAATGATGAGCAGACCAAAGACATATTTTACGAGCGCCTAGAAACAGCATATGACCGTTGCCCTGGCCATGACATTAAAATTCTGCTAGAAGATTTTAATGCAAAAATCAAAAGGGAAAATATATTTGGCCCCACCGTCGGAAAATTCAGCCTTCATGATGAAACATCCGACAACGGCATGAGGTTGATTGACTTCGTGGCAGCAAAAACATGATAGTTAGCAGCACCAGATTCAAGCATCTCGATATACACAAGGCCACCTGGATCTCTCCTGATCAAGTAACGAGAAATCAAATTGATCATGTTGTGATAAACGGAAAGCATTCATCCAGTGTTTTAGACGTCCGATCGATCCGAGGAGCGAATATCGATGCGGACCATTACCTTGTGGCAGCCAATGTACGCACTCGTCTTAATGTTGCAGCAAAGGTGCGATCTAACACAACACGGAAACTCGACGTCGAAAAGCTGCAAATATAACAGGTAGCCGAGGCCTACTCCGCTCAACTTACCCACCTACTTGACGAAACCACTTCTTGTCCCGATAATAGTATAAAAGCACAAGGAATTGCCCACTCCCTACATACTGCAGCAAAAACGACACTTGGGTACCAAAAACCACCACCAAGAAACCCATGGTACGATCAGGAGTGATCTACTGATCTGAAAAACGCAGCGTATAGGGCAACCCTGCAGACAGTAGCAACACGTATGGGGAATTATTGGGAGAAAAGGAGAGAGGAGAAACGTGTTTTCAGAAAAAAGAAGAAAGAACAAGAAAAACGTGAGCGTGAGCAAATCGAGATGTACAGGAGTCAGAATGAAGTCCCTAAATTTTACCAACGAGTAAAAGCCCAAACCAAAGGTTTTGGTACAGACACATCCTCCTGTAGAGATGAAGAAGGAAACCTGGTTACAGATACAGACAGCGTGCTGAGGATCTGGAAGGAGCATTTTGAAAAGCTTCTGGTATCAAATAGTGGCGGTGAAGAAGAAACAAGAAACAATAAGAGATGACGTTAAATAATGTATACCACCTAGCCAAGATGAAGCCATAAAAGCAATTAATCAAGAACAATAAAGCAGCAGGAGCCGATGGGTTACCAGCCGAACTATTCAAGACTGGTGGTCAGATGCTGGTCAGGAGCATGCATCAGCTGATTGGTACAATTTGGCTAGAGAAATGCACGTCCAATGATTGGAACCTCAGCATCCTGTGTCCCGTGCACAAAAAAGGAGACAAGACGATATGTGTCAACTATAGTGGAATTAGCCTTCTTCCCATCGCATATAAAGTGCTATCTAGTGTGCTGTGTGAACATTATTTGACCATACCAATGTGGCTTCAGACCTGGCAAATCCACCATTGACCAGATTTTCACTCTGCCCCAAATCCTGGGAATGACCCACGACCCACATATCGACACATACCACCTATTCGTCGACTATAAAGCCGCATTCAACAGCCCTATCCGTTCAAAGTTGTTTAAAGCCATCTATTACACAAATATGCACAAAAACCCTATATCACAATGTAGCGTAGTGTATAAAAAGATTCTGAAATCATTTTTTAGCGATTATTTTTATAAAGACATTTTATATATTTAATATTTAATAATGATTAGGCTACATTCGATATATTTAAATGTATCATGTCTGCCTTTTCCCTCGTCATTATCGCATTGAGCATCGTTCAGCAGTATTATCTGTAAATAAAAAAGTATAAATATCGATAGGCAAAGACTTATTATTTTTCAAGTCCTAATATAGGTGTATACCTAAAAATATTTTTCAAAGTCTACTATTGGGCAATAATTTTTTAAAAAATTATTTCAAGGTCTATTATTCAAGGTCTAAATTATTTTTCAAGGTATTAGACAGGAATTTTTAACAATTATTTTCAAGTTATACAATAAGGCCTGGATATTCCAAAAAAATATTTCATGGTATACTATTAGGAGTGGATTTTTTATATTATTTTTCAGACTCTATTATTAGTCGTGGAATCTTTAAATATTTGTTTCAAGGTCTACTTTTAGGCTGGATTTTTTCAAAATTATTTTTCATGGTCTACTATTATGCGTGGATTTTTTTTTAAATTATTTTTCACGACTAGGATTAAAAAATATATGTTTCAAGATCAACTAATAAGCGTAGATTTTTTAAATTACTTTTTAAGGTCTACTATTAGGCATGCATTTTTGAAAATATTTTTTAAAGGCTGCTATTAAGTTTTAAAAATTATTTTTTTTCAAAAACGTTTTAAAAATTACTTTAATGTATATCGTGCGGTTTTTTCAAGGTCTACTTATAGGAATGGATTTTTTATATATATTTTTTTTCAAGGTCTACCATTATGCGCGGTTTTTTTTAAATATTTTCCAAGGTCTATTGTTAGGATTTTATTTAAATTTTTTTCAAGGACTACTATTAATCGTGGATTTTTAAGGTCGACTATAGGTTGTGGATTATTTCAAAATTATTTTTTCTAGGTCCTCTATTATGAAGAAGAATTTTTGTCAAGGTTTACTAGTAGGCGTGGATTTATTAAAATTATCTTTCAAGGTATACTATTAGGCGTTGATTTTTTAAAAATATTTTTTATCGTCTACTATTAGGCGTTGCTTTGGACCTGGATTTTTTTTTTTTTTTTTAAATTGTTTTTATGGAAGAGGAAGAAGTGTAGAATTAACTCACCTTCAAATTCCCAATACCCAGTGGCACCAAAACCCGTCGATATGCCCACATATTTGATGGGAAATAATTTCGCCCCCTTATGGAACATAAATGAAATATTTTCACCATCCCGACCGACCGCAATGGTTGTATCATTCCAACGTATCCAGAATCCTCGCAATTCCTGAGCATTTACAATGTCCGGTGTCGATGACTCGAATACATCTGGTGGTACTATATCAGATTTTCTTATAACCGATTTTGTATTACTCATTGCCCCAATAACAATTTCATACATAGGTACACCGACTAAGGGTTGGGCCGACAAAGCTATATGGCAATCGTGCGCGCATTTGATTTTAAAAAGAAAGGCATTCCCCTGCACCGGATAGAATTTGTAATCCTTCTCTTTTGGTGTTCTTACTGAATTTTTAAAGAAAATATATTTTTAATTATTTTCTAGAGAAAAAAATATCTCCACAAAAAACTTACCCTTCAAAACCCTTTTTGAAATCAAAACATCATCTAGGGGTGCTGTGGAAAAAGTGACAACTCCAATGACACTCTCGAGCCAGCTAATTTTTTAATTCTCTACTTACTATTAAATATCCATGAACCACTGGAACCATATGCCGTACAAATACCCAAATATTTGACATCAAATAAATTTGCATCTTTATAGGCCATAAGTGGCACATCCTCACCACCACGTCCCGCCTGCAACACATTGTCGTGCCAACATATCCAAAATGTACGCCATTCATGTTCACTGCAAATTTTGGGTGTTTGTACCTCCACCAGATCTGGCATTTTACCATTTTTACGTATTATGGACTTGGTATTGGCCCAACCGCCAAATACAATCTCATACATGGGATCACGTTCTTCATTGTTACTTGACAATGTCACATGACAATCATTGGTACACTTGACGTTGAACAGGAATAAATTACCATGTACCGGATAATATCGATATCTTTTTTCATTGGGGGTATTTACTGGAAGGCAAAGAAATAAATACAATTTTTTATAGAAGAAAACGGTTAAGTTCGGTCGGGACGAACGTGGAAACCGAAATATATAGGAAATTTTTCTGTTCGAACACTGAGAAATTATTTTCTATGGAATGAAATTCATATTATATTTGTTTTATTGCAACTTTGAACCTGAGGAATTTATTTCTATAAAAAAACATCTCAGGACATGACGTGTAGTTTTTCCTATAGAAAAAATACTCCAGGTTCCGAGTTGAAATTTTTCTCAGTACCTATGGGTAGTATATATAAAAACAAATATTTCAAATATTCACCTCTGGTTTTGGAACATTTTTTTTTCTACAGAAAAAAGTTCACCTCAGGCCTTGACATAGAAAAAAATATCTCAGATCCTGAGAAATCATTTGGTGTAGAAAAACTTTCACTCGTGGTTCTGAGATATTTTCTCAACATTTACCGCAGGCCCTGATAAATAAGAAAACAACATTAAAATGTTTCTGTAGAAAAATGTTATCTCCAGTCCAGTTTCTGAGACAGGATATAGACAAAAAGTTCACCGAAGGTTCTGAGACTTTTTATACCCTTCACCACACTGTGGTACAGGGTATTATGTATTTGTGCATATGTTTGTAACAGGCAAAAATAATCGAGATAGACCCATGGTTCCTTTTGAGAATATGCAAATAATCGAATTTCTGAGTCGATTTATGCATGTCCGTCTGTCCATGATAAAATGTAACAAAGTACAGGTCGCATTTATAATCCGAATTGTATGAAATTTGGCACAGCTTATTTGTTTGGCCCAAGGACGGACCCTATTGAAATCGGAAAAAATCGGTCCACATTTAGATATAGCTCCCATATATAGTTTCGCCCGATTTTAGGTAAGTGGTGCACCAAAGTTCCTGAAAATCATTTGATTGGCATGAATTTTGGTATAGCGTACTAAATTAAGTCTAGTATGATGTATGCTAAGTTTCGTGAAAATCGGTTCAGATTTAGATATAGCATTCATACATAGTTTCGTCCGATTTTAGGTAAATGGTGCACCAAAGTCTCTGAAAATCATTCGATTTGCACGCATTTTGGCATAGCGTATTGAATTAAGTCTGGAATGATGTGTACACCACCTATATATATTTTCGTCCGATTTTAAGTAAATTGTGCACTAAAGATCCATAGCTAGGCCGATTGACACAACGTATTGAAATTAGTATAAATTAATCTCTGGAAAGTTTGCTTCAAATCGGTTCAGATATAGATATCTCGTAGCTTCCATATATAATTTCGACTTATTTATTGAGATTAAATTTTAAACAGTGCAACATACCGAATATCGTGTGTCAAGTTTATTCGATTCTGTCAAATCTGTCCCACTGTGCGTCCCACAAACCACTCTAAACTTGCCCAAATAAAATGAAATGTAGCATAGGTTCCAGAAAGATATAAAAATCACATATTTATGTTCGTTCACTTTCATGTCAAAATCCCTTCAAAAAGGCGACGTCTTTTCGGATACATATGTACCCAAAATGGTGAAGGGTATCATATAGTCGGCCCAGTCCGACTTTACTACTTTCCTTACTGGTTTTTATTAAAAATACTCCTCTGGTTCTGAGATATTTTTTATACAGAAAAGAGGTTCACCTCTAGTTCTGAAATATTTTTTCTACACAAACAAATTCGCCTCAGACCCTGATAAATAAAAAAAATTACCTTAAATTATTTTCTGTAGAAAAACGTTATCTCAAGTCCAATTTCTGAGACAGGCTATAGAAAAAATTTTACCGAAGGATCTGAGATATTTTCTAAACAGAAAAATTAACCTCAGCCCTGACAAGTAAAAAAGTCTACCTAACTTTCTCCCGATCAAACAACGAGAAATCAAATCGATCATATTGAGAAGCCCATGACATGATCAGGAGTGTCATAATGCTACTGTTGTAAAAAACGCAGCGTATAGGGAAACCCTGCAGACAGTAGCAACACCCTATGCGAGAGAGAATTATCTGGAGAAACGTATTTTTTAGAAAAATAGAAGAAAGAACAATACACAAGTGAACGGTTGCAAATCGAGATGTACAGGATTCAGAAGGAAGTCCGAAATTTTTACCAACGAGTAAAACACAAAACTGAAGGCTTTGTAGAGATGGAGATGAAAACCTGATAACAGATACAGATAGCCTGTTGAGGATCTGGAAGGAGTATTTTTAAAAGCTTCTGGTATCAAATAGTGACGGTGAAGAAGATACCCCAGAACCAATAAGAGATGACGGTATCGGGTGTACACCACCTAACCAAGATGAGGTGAGAATAACTTTCAATCAGCTGACGAATATTAAAGCATTAGGTGGCCAGCCGAAGTATTCAAAACCGATGATGCACGAGGATGCACAAGCTGATTAGTACAATTTTGCTAGATGAATGCATACCCAATTAGAACCTCAGCATCCTGTGCACAAAAAAAGGAGGCAAGATGATATGAGCCAACTATAGAGTAATAAGCGGCTTCAGACCTGGCAAATCCACCATTGAACAGATTTTCATTCTGCGCCAAATCCTGGAAAAGACCCACGAAAAACACATTGACACATTCCACATATTCATCGACTATAAAGCCACATTTGACAGCCCTATTCGTTCTGAGCCATGTCTGCGTTCGGCATTCCTACAATACAGTCGGAAATGACTTCTCGGAGCCCTTCAATACTGAACGAGGATTCAGACAAGATAACAGTTTGTCGTGTGACCTCTTTGACAACCTACTGGAAAAGGTAAACAGAATTGACACTATGTACACCAAACAACACATGTTACTTGCCTTCGCCAATGGCATCGACATAACGAGTCGAATATTGCGAGTGGTAACAGCAACCTTTGAAAAAATTGAGAAGAAGTCTGTTAAAGTGGGTCTGGCAGTAAATAGCGAGAAGACCAAGCTGATGGTATCAACGCGCAAGTTGTCCAGTAGACTCGGACCAACTGTGGAAGTTGAAAACTACAGCTTCGAGGTTGTAAACGATTTTATATACCTCGGAACCGCCATAAACAAAACTAATACCATCAACTTTGAAATCCAGAGGAGAATAGTGTTGGCCAACGGATGCTACTTTGGTCTAAGTAAGTAATTCGCTAGCAAGGCCACCTCTCACCTGACCAAAGCCGCACTCTACAAGACCCTGATATTACCCGTGTTGTTGTATGGATCTGAAGCACTTGCGGAAGCAGATGAGGCAGCTGTTGGAGCGTTTGAGAGAAAATTTCTCCGGAAGATCTATGTGCCGATCTGCGTTGATGGTGAATATCGCCGTCGAATGAATCATGAGTTGTACCATCTATTCTCAGACACCGACATAGTCAGACGTATCGAGGTGCAGCGACTACGTTGGCTAGGACATGTTGTCAGAATGGATGACGATGCCCACGCTCGAAAGGCATAGAGCTGGGGCATCGGAAGTGGAAGGCCACGAATTCGATGGAACGATCAAGTAGAAGACAACATTTCGGAGCATGGTCTTTAAATTTGGAAGAGCTGCGCACGAGACCGACGCGCCTGGAAATCTTCTTTAAGCTCGGCTTATGGAACAACCGTTCTGTCATAAGCCAGCTAAGTAAGTAAGTATATCTAAATCTGAAAGGATTTTCACGAAGCATCAACATTTAATTCAGTACGCTATGCCCAAATCGAAGGATATATAGGGACTTTGGTACACCATTTATATTAAATCGGACGTAATATATATGAGAGCTATATCTAAAAATTCTCCAAAAGACATATACGCCTTGGAAACTTTTTTCTATAGAAATATATAATAAGGTAATCGTTTTTCTATAGAAAAATCACTGTTGAGATGAAATTAATTATTATCAGATAATTAAAAAATTAAAAATAATCACATTGACTTACTGTTAATTAATTTACTTTTATCGGACAACATATTCGGTATTACTGGGTCTCGGGAAACCGCAAACGAATTATCTGCAAAAAGAAATCAAACAAACATACATCCTCAGACCACAGTTTACACCTCCCTCTCACTCTTAGACTTACCGCCAACAAACCAGCAACCACTAGAACCATATGCCGTACATATACCCACATAGTTAATGTCAAATAAATTCTTATCTAGATAAGACATAAATGCCACCGATTCACCCTTACGTCCCACTTGTATACCCCTGTTGTCCCAACGAACCCAAAAGCCACGCATTTCATTGGGATTACAAATATTTGGTGTTAGAGCTGCAACAAGATCAGGTTCCTGGCCTATTCGACGTATAATAGACTTGGTATTGTCCCAGCCGCCTATGGCTATCTCATATGTGGGTGATACTCCATTGGGATGGCTGGACAGGGCAATGTGGCAATCGTTGGCACAACAACAATAGAAGGCAAACACACCACCATGGGCAGGATAATATTTGTAGTTCTTCTCATTGGGAGTTTTTACTTTTGGACAGAGAAAGAAAGAGCGAGAGAGAGAGAAAATGAGAGTGAGCGTAAATGCATTGTATTTAATAAAATAATTATTGAAATATTACCAAATTTCATATTTTCAATATTCTCCAAATCTGCCGAATTTGGTCCTATTGATCTTGGATATAGATCTAGAAAAAATGATATTTTTTTAATAACAAATTTAAAAATTATAATTATCTCTATCACCATCAAATAACCATGACCCCATCGATCCATATGCCGTACATATACCCAAAAATTTCACATCGAATAATTGTGCATCTTTGTAGGACATAAATGCTGTAGCTTCACCCTCTCGGCCCACAGATATTGTTTGATCACGCCAACGTATCCAAAATCCACGCATTTCATTCGTATTGACAATATTCGGTGTGGCTGTTATCGCCACATCTGGTTGCTTGCCGCCGTAACGTATTACCGACTTGGTACTGTTCCAACCACCAATGACCACTTCGTATATGGGATGATATTCTTGCGGTTCAGTTGTCAAGGCCACATGACAGTCGTTGCTACAGCAAATCTTAAATTGAAATTGCTTATTTGACGGGGCAGGATAGAAAATATACCGCTTCCGATCGGGTGTAGTTACTGCGGGGGGTAAATATATATTTTTTATAAAATATTGAAAACTCCATGTGTTCTCTTACTTACCATAGGTCTTCATATTTTGGTTATGATATTATTTCCACAAGCTTTTGATTAGAACTGCAGGTCAAACATAAGTTAGAGCAGCTTTTATACATGCGGTTTATGGTGGGTATAAACCGAACGAGACGTTTGCTATAAAGGTATTCAAAAACATTTGAAAATAAAACCAGTAAGGAAAGTAGTAAACTATATGATACCCTTCACCACTTTGGGTATATTCTACACATGTTTGTTATATAAAGTCGAATTCGGATAAGCGAACGCCGGTTTATCGGATGAATTTTCGAACACTTTATTTCGCATAAAAGAAAAACCGGTTAATTGAAAATCCGTATAAGGGAAGGACTTTTTTATTGCAAAAACACAATTATATATGAAACGAGCACCGTTTAAGAGAAAAAAATCATTTTTGTAAATTTTAGTTTTTTGAAATTGAGGATATATAGGGTCTTTGATGCACAAATTACCTTAAATCGGATGAAAATATATATGGGAGCTATATCTAAATCTAAACCGATTTTCACGAAACTTAACACACATCATTCTAGACATTATTCAGTACGCTATGTCAAATTTCGTGCAAAGCGAAAGATATATAGGGACTTTGGTACACAATTTACCTTAAATCGAACGAAGATATATATAGGAGCTATATATAAATCTGGAAACTTTGCTCACATCAATATATACTTAATTCAGTACGCTATGCCAAATTTCGTGCAAATCGAAAGATATATAGGGACTTTGGTACACCAATTACCTTAAATCGGACGAAGATATATATAGGAGCTATATGTAAATCTGGACCGATGTTCACGAAACTTTGCTGACATCATTATATACCTAATTCAGTACGCTATGTCAAATTTCGTGCAAAGCGAAAGATATATAGGGACTTTGGTACACAATTTACCTTAAATCGAACGAAGATATATATAGGAGCTTTATCTAAATCTGAACCGATTTTCACGAAACTTAACACACATCATTTTAGACCTTATTCATAGCGCTATGCCAAACTTCGTGCAAATCGAAAGATATATAGGGACTTTAGTGGACTATTTACCTAAAATCGGGAGAAACTATATATGGGAGCTATATCTAAACCTGAACCGATTATCACGAAACTTTGCACACATCATTCTAGACTTAATTCAGTACGCTATGCCAAATTTCGTGCAAATCGAAAGATATATAGGGACATTGGTACACCATTTACCTTAAATCGGACGAAAATATATATGGGAGCTATATCTAAATCTGAACCCATTTTCCCAATTTCAATAGGGTTCGTCCTGGGACCAAATAAGTGACCTATGCCAAATTTCATCCAATTCGGATCATAAATGCGACATGTACTTTGTTTACAATTTAACATGGACAGACGGACGGACGGATATGCATAAATCGACTCAGAAAGTGATTTTATGCATATTCTCAAAAGGAATCATGTGTCTATCTCGTTTCCTTTTGCCTGTTACAAACATATGCACCAAGACATAATACCCTGTACCACAGTGTGGTGAAGGGAAAAAAAAAATATCAATATTGGAACACTTTTTAGGGTCGCCCCCATATAACGGTACTTACGATTTTCGGTATATTGGTTATTTTGCGTACGCGTCATTAGGTTGCAAATCTTCCTACGAAAAATTATCAACCAGTGAGCGGAGCAGTATAGTCGGACGGGGCCGACCATATAATACCCTACACAACTTCCACGAAAATATAACTTTGCGTTATTTGCACCCTCTTGAAACCTGTCTAAAGGTCAACATATATTACTAATATTCAGTAGACGAGGGCTGTACTTGTCCAGATTCTCTTTACCGTGGGTTATGTTGTCGTGTTGGGCTTTCAATTATGGCCTTTAGATTGACTCAAAAAAACACACAAGATGTTAAGTTTTCGGTTTACTTCATCAAAAAAAAAAATTATTATCTGATCATCACCGAAAGTTATAGGCGTTGCCCTTGACCATAACTGGGATCTCATAGAAATTTTCAAATCGATCAGCGGTATATTTCCGCCCTCTAGTGTGGTTTTGGGTTACTAAATAATGTCTGAATACGTAAGCACCTGTAAATATTTAAGTGTAGCTCCCAAATCTGAATTATCAAAACAGGCATGCTTATTCTTTGTCCCGATTCCCTTCTCCATGCAAAAATTCGGTGTTTGAGCCAGACAAAAATAACATTTTTGGTCCATTTCATGCCCTAAATATTAACCGATCTTTTCCAAAAACAATAGGGGTTTTCATTGGCCAGAACCCATTCTACATGCAAAATTTCGTGAAGATTGGTCCATAACTGTGGCCTGTATCGTGTTTACAAATTATAATGGACAGACGGACGGACACACATGTCTAGATCGACTCAGCTAGTCGAAATATGACGATCGGTATACTTAAAGGTGGGTCTAGGACCTTCGCGGCGTTACAATCTTTTGGGGCTACACAAAGCTATAATACCCTAACAACATAGTTGTGTAGGGTATAATTATCAATATTGATCCATTCTTAATGGTAGCACTCATACAACGGTACCTTCCGAATTTCAGTATTTTAAGGAATTTGGGCACACTTTTCAACCGAATCGGCTGTAATTTGGTATTTTCGATTTTCATTGTGTAGTATATCTATTACGAAATTTCTACGAAAAATGGTCTAAATACTAATGTATGGGTAAATACTAATATGGTCTAAATACAAATATGGGTAAAATACATTTTTCCGGAAAATTGTCTATATAGGCCCATGTTGTCGTATAATCACCAGTTTACCTAGGCAAGTCGACCTTTACCTACTCGATTCAATTCATTTGCGGTTTTCCAATTTCATTCTAATCAAACTTCAAACGGAGTTTTTCTATTCACAGTCCTATGAATTGGGGTTTAAAAACCGCACAACTCGTGATAATATAATTTTGTTTATATTTTGGTATGCGGTCCCTCTTCAATTGTAGATTCTCACGACAAATTATGAAAAAATAATTTTAAATATTAATTCTATATTTCCGAATTACTCTCTTTATAAACATATTTTTACAAAAAAATATAAATAAATAAAGAATTTCATCAATGCATCACCCACATTCCGAGTGAAGAATAATTCTGGCCTTTAAGGAATGATGCGATAAGAAGTCATTCTTCTTCGAAGCAAAGATGAGTAATGCAAAAACATTGATGGGTACTATTTTACGATAAGGTGACTTGGTTAATTTCCATTCGCAACACAGACGTTTGCATTTATCATGGACTTGGAATTTTATTTTATATTTCACAACATAAAATGTGTTGGTTCATGTATGGATGGGCCATGAAAAAAAAATTCTTTAAAAAATCCACGCCTTGTATAGATCGATGGAAAAATATTCTTTAAAAAATCCACACCTTGTATAGATCGATGGAAAAATATTCTTTAAAAAATCCACACCTTGTATAGATCGATGGAAAAATATTCTTTAAAAAATCCACGCCTTGTATAGATCGATGGAAAAATATTCTTTAAAAAATCCACGCCTTGTATAGATCGATGGAAAAATATTCTTTCAAAAATCCACGCCTTGTATGGATGGACCATGAAAAAATATTCTTTAAAAAATCCACGCCTTGTATGGATGGACCATGAAAAAATATTCTTTAAAAAATCCACGCCTTGTATGGATGGACCATGAAAAAATATTTTTTAAAAAATCCACGCCTTGTATGGATGGACCATGAAAAAATATTCTATACAAGGATAGATGAAAAAAAATTCTTTAAAAAATCCACGCCTTGTCTAGATCGATGAAAAAAATATTGTATGGATGGACCATGAAAAAATATTCTTTAAAAAATCCACGCCTTGTATGGATGGACCATGAAAAAATATTCTTTAAAAAATCCACGCCTTGTATGGATGGACCATGAAAAAATATTCTATACAAGGATAGATGAAAAAAAATTCTTAAAAAAATCCACGCCTTGTCTAGATCGATGAAAAAAATATTGTATGGATGAACCATGAAAAAATATTCTTTAAAAAATCCACGCCTTGTCTAGATCGATGAAAAAAATATTGTATGGATGGACCATGAAAAAATATTCTTTAAAAAATCCACGCCTTGCATAGACCGATGAAAAAATATTCTTTAAAAAATCCACGCCTTGTATGGATGGACCATGAAAAAATATTCTTTAAAAAATCCACGCCTTGTATAGATCGATGAAAAAATATTCTTTAAAAAATCCACGCCTTGTATAGATCGATGAAAAAATATTCTTTAAAAAATCCACGCCTTGTATAGATCGATGAAAAAATATTCTTTAAAAAATCCACGCCTTGTATAGATCGATGAAAAAAATATTCTTTAAAAAATCCACGATCCACAAATTTTATATCTCCTAATAAAATAACCTTGACCATGTGTAACCATATGTTTTTGTGTGTGTTTTTTTTTTTTTGTTATTAAAACATTTAAAATTTGCATATGAGGGATACGTTTGTTTGTCTTTTGATATCAGCTGAAAACTGATGGTTTCAGTTTGGTTTTTGTTTTTTTTTTCTATATTTTTTTATGGTTTATCAATGTGTTCTCAGTATTTAAAACATACATTTAAAATCTTCTCTCACTCGAAATTTATTAGATATAAAATAAATGGGGTTTATAAAAGTGGGTCGACAAATTGGTGACAATACTAAAAAAATATATTTTTTTAATTAAAAAAATTATTATTCCGCATTATTTTTTATCGATCCACTCTATTGTATAATTAAAAAATTTGATTACATTTTAATTAACATTTGTTTATTATTTTTTTTCCATTTGTTATCGACCCACTCTATTATACATTATTATTCAATATAATATCTATTGAATAGCGATGCTGACTAATTTTTTGTTTTGTTTTGATTGTTGTTTGGTTTCTCTTTTTTTCGTTTCGGATACTCGAGAGCTGTTTTGCCGGTCAGGTTCTACATTTTAACAACAACAAAGAATTTATTTTTTGTTTTGTTTTAAAAAAGAGGTGATATGTAGCTGGAAGATTTTGTCTCAATTCGAGTTGTTATTTTCATATAGAAAATATATTCGAATTTAGTAGTTAATTGCGGTTACTCCGAGTTAACAGTCGTATTCCTTTGTTTTGTGCGCAAATTAAAAATCGAAGTTCTCCAAAAATGCCAACCAGTAAGTGTAACAAAAAATCTTAATGTGAATAAGTGATTTGGTGTTTTATTAAAAAATAACAACAACAAAATTCTACCAACCAAACATAATATTTTTCAAAACGTGAATAATTTTTCAAGGTCCCAAGGAATATTTTTTCAAGGACCAATAAAATGCGCGGATTTTTTAATGAATATTTTTTATGGATCTGTACAAGGCGGGGATTTTTTAAAGAATATTTTTTCATGGTCCATCCATACAAGGCGTGGATTTTTTAAAGAATATTTTTTCATCGATCTATACAAGGCGTGGATTTTTTAAAGAATATTTTTTCATCGATCTATACAAGGCGTGGATTTTTTAAAGAATATTTTTTCATCGATCTATACAAGGCGTGGATTTTTTAAAGAATATTTTTTCATCGATCTATACAAGGCGTGGATTTTTTAAAGAATATTTTTTCATCGATCTATACAAGGCGTGGATTTTTTAAAGAATATTTTTTCATCGATCTATACAAGGCGTGGATTTTTTAAAGAATATTTTTTCATCGATCTATACAAGGCGTGGATTTTTTAAAGAATATTTTTTCATCGATCTATACAAGGCGTGGATTTTTTAAAGAATATTTTTTCATCGATCTATACAAGGCGTGGATTTTTTAAAGAATATTTTTTCATCGATCTATACAAGGCGTGGATTTTTTAAAGAATATTTTTTCATCGATCTATACAAGGCGTGGATTTTTTAAAGAACATTTTTTCATGGGTCATCACAAGGCGTGGATTTTTTAAAGAATATTTTTTCATGGGTCATCACAAGGCGTGGATTTTTTAAAGAATATTTTTTCATGGGTCATCACAAGGCGTGGATTTTTTAAAGAATATTTTATCATGGGTCATCACAAGGCGTGGATTTTTTAAAGAATATTTTTTCATGGGTCATTACAAGGCGTGGATTTTTTAAAGAATATTTTTTCATGGGTCATCACAAGGCATGAATTTTTTAAAGAATATTTTTTCATGGGTCATTACAAGGCGTGGATTTTTTAAAGAATATTTTTTCATGGGTCATCACAAGGCGTGGATTTTTTAAAGAATATTTTTTCATGGGTCATCACAAGGCGTGGATTTTTTAAAGAATATTTTTTCATGGGTCATCACAAGGCGTGGATTTTTTAAAGAATATTTTTTCATGGTCCAGCCATACAAGGTGTGGATTTTTTAAAAAATATTTTTTCATGGATATAGAAAAGGTGTGGATTTTTTAAAAAAATATTTTTTCATGATTTTTTATAAAAATATTTTTCATGAATATAGAAAAGGTGTGGATTTTTTAAAAAAATATTTTTTCATGAATATAGAAAAGGTGTGGATTTTTTAAAGAATAGTTCTTCATATGTTTAAAAATTTATTGAATCTACTTATTTAATATGACACACTATTGGTATTTGTTTACATATATTTGGCATACGTCATTTCTAGATTTGTTAATCTGTTAATGTTTTGTTGTTGTTTATATTGAAATTAGACAAATGAATGCCAGAATTCGCAAACATTTAATAGCTAATATGGCATTGTCCGTATGTTTGACGGTGTGTCTGTCTTGTTGTCGATGACATAAGTCAAGTCGTTTCATTTGAGTTGTCGTATTAACCAAAATAAATGTATATCTAAAAAAGTATACTTGATTGCAATTAAGTGAGTGGCAATTGCCTGTATGTTACTAATTATCAACATAGAGAAAAAAATCTATTAGCTGGGCAATTGTAATTATTAAGTTGACGATTTTATCGAGCACGTAGTAAATATTAAAAAAAAATCACATTAGTATTTCTTTCATAGTCTTTATATGTATGTATTTGTTCAACTAGTTCCACTTCCAAGAGTGTATATGTAAAATGAATATTAAAACTGATACTTTTTTGGGCTAGAGTATAAAATGAATCATTTTAGAAAATTGCACTCAATTCCGAAATTATCAAGCTTTTCGATTTCATTGCAGCTTGAGATATTTAATTTAAATGTGAACATTTGTTTATTAGTAGGTGGTTATAGTATGTATGTTACCTCGAGGTATTGATAATCTCGACTGTGGTGACCCATGAAGAATAGCCTTTTAAAAATTCTCCTTTTTGTGGTTAAAAAATATATATATTTTTTTTTTAAAATTGTCGTACCCAATGAAAATATTTTTTGAAATTTTTTTTTAATCAATTTTTATTTTGTTTCCCTTTTTCTCCCCTTTTCGCAGTCAACACCCCCGATAAATTGGAATATCAATTCTTCCCAGCCAATAATTATGTGTTCACATTTAAGATACGTGCACCCAATGATGCCCATTTGGCGCTGACGGCCCAACCAGCCGAAAGTTTTCCCATGTATGAGGTATTCATTGGTGGCTGGGGCAATACTAAGTCGGTGATTCGTCAAAATCGCCAAAAACCCGATGTGGTTGAAGTTCCCACGCCCGGCATCTTGAATACCAATGAATATCGTGGTTTTTGGATACGTTGGTATGACCAGACAATTACTGTGGGCCGTGAGGGTGAAGCTGCTGCATTTATGACATATCATGATCCACATATGTTCCCCATACAATATGTTGGTATTTGCACCGGTTGGGGTGCCTCCGGTTCGTGGACTTTCGAAGGTAAGTTAAATCGAGGAATTTAATTTCAAATGGCAGAATAATCTATTTTATTTTTAATTATTTTTAGCAGAACCCAATCCTACGGCTCCCTCTATGACCATGCAGAATACACCAACAATGCAGAATTTTAATCCCGCACCCGGTTTCAATCCAGCTGCCATGGGTTATGCCATGCCTCCCATGGATGCTGGAGCGGCGACCATGAGTTATCCCAGCGGTCCCTCATCCGAATCATGGATACCAGCCGCCAATGGCGTTGTGCCACCCAATGCCGTATCGGGTGGCATTGATGGCAGCGATAATTTATATATTGCTCGTGCCCGTCATGGCAGTGATTTAATCCCCGGCAAATTACATCCATCTCATGGCTGTTGCTATGTACCCTATGGCGGCGTGGAGCATAGCCATAAGGAATATGAAGTTTTGTGCAATAGCTATGGTCGTTGGGTACCCTGGAATGGTAGCATGCCACCAACAGCTGTAGTTGGTGGTCAAACTGCAGAAGGTGAACCTCTGTATATTGGTCGGGCTCAACATGGCGGTACTACAACGGTGGGCAAGGTACAACTATCACATGGTAGCTGTTATATACCCTATGGTGGTGAGGAGATGGGTTTCAAAGAATTCGAAATTTATGTTTCACAATAAGGCATGAAGCGTTTCGATATTTGACTATTCACTAAGAATCTCTAAAGGAATATTGTTTTATAAAATCTCATAAATATTTAGTGTAACCATTGTATTTTTTGAAATAATAAAGTATTTTAGTGGAATCTGTATTGAATTTCATTTAAATTCGATTTTAATTGTTTCAATATTTGAAGTCATTGTTGGATTAATTATAAATATGAGAGGAGCGCCATCTATTAGTACATAGTAATGACAATTAAATCTGGTTTCTAATCACATACACGAACCATGTGATGGAAATGTGAAATCACAATGGTGTCTAAATTGATTACATGGAAAATGTGTATTCACAATAGCCGTTAAATTGATTAACCCATTGTTTTCCTTCAGTAAACATTTTGTTCGGCCCATTCATTTGGTAATTCTGGAAAATGAAACAGATTTCTCAAGTCAATAATTTCTCAATAATTTTTTTGATTAACCTACGCGTTGAAAAAAAGCTTCTTTAAACCAGTAAGGAAAGTAGTAAAGTCGGACTGGGCCGACTATATGATACCCTTCACCACTTTGGGGATATTCTACATATGTATCTTTACAGATGTCGTATTTTCGAAGGATGCGATCTTTATATATAAGTAAACCGACTAAAATCAATCCTTACACATGCCATTCTGCAATCTATTCAATACTTTGTAAATAGACTTTAAGCAAACTTTACGCACGGTATTTGGTATGCTTCACTGTTTAAAATGTAATATCAATCAAGCATCCATTGATTTTTTGGTTTACAATCAACATGAATAGGTCGAAATTATATATGGAAACTATGCTATATCTAAAACTGAACCGATTTCAATGAAACTTGCCCGAGACCATTTACTTAAAATCGAACGGAAGTATATATAGGAGCTATATGTAAATCTGAACCAATTTCAAGAAAAGTTGACACACGAAGGGTTATAGTCATTTTGTACAAAATTGTGTGCGGATCGGCCAATCTTTGGTTCTTTCGTGCTATATCTAAATCTGAACCGGTTTTCACGAAACTTACCCAAATTCAGTACTCTATGCCAAATTTCGTGCAAATCTAAAGATATATAGGGACTTTGGAGACCCATTTACCTTAAATCGAACGAAATTTTATATGGGATCTATATATAAATCTGACCCGATTTTCTCGAAACTTGGCACACATCATTCTTGACCTAATTTAGTAATTTATGCCAAATTTCGTGCAAATCGAATTATATATAGGGGCTTTGGTGCCCCATTTACCTTAAATGGGACGAAAATATATATGGGAGCTATATCTAAATCTGAGCCGATTTCCACGAAACCTAGCACACATCATTCTGGACATAATTCAGTACTCTATGCCAAATTTCATGCAAATCGAAAGATATAGAGGGACTTTGATGCCCCATTTACCTTAAATCGGACGAAAACATATATGAGAGCTATATCTAAATCTGAACCGATTTTTCCCAATTTCAATAGGGTTCGTCCTTGGGCCAAATAAGTGACGTGTGCCCAATTTCAACCAAATCGGATCATAAATGCGACCTGTACTTTGTTTACAATTTAACATCTACAGACGGACGGACGGACATGCATAAATCGACTCAGAAAGTGATTCTATGCATATTCTCAAAAGGAACCATGTACCACAGTGTGGTGAAGGGTATAAAAATCAACACTTATTTTTATTATTGAACCGGACCATTCCAAAATTCTTAAGTCTAAATTATCTGATTGTAGGTTTATAATCTAAATAATAAATACCAAGTTACAGACATTATACAAGACATATTACAGACACTTCTAGAAACTGACGAAACAATGATCTATATTGAAAATGTTCTGGGAAGAAATTTTTTGTGCAACTCGAATTTTGGAATTTCATAAAATCGTATTTGGGACAGGAGATTCCGTAGGGACCATATCAAAAAACGGACCTATATCGAAAATTTTCTGAAAAACTATTTATCAAATGCCAAGCATGCGGTTAAAAAAAACTGCTAAAACAAAATTTTCCGAAAATAAAGAGTTTTCATCTATATGGATATGTGTCAAATCTTGGACCCATCGTGTCTGCAAAGCATTTTTGTTGTAAAAGGCGCCTAAATCTTTAAAATTCCGATAAAGAGTCCTGGAGTTTACATAGAGACTATGTGGAGTTTCTGTCATGGACTTTAGATTGCAAAACGGGGCTAAACTCTTTAAAATATGAAAAATATCGCTGTACGGTTATAACCCATGTGGGACAAAATATAATCGCTTCGGCCCTTTTAATATTTTTTTAAAAAATTCGCGCTTCCGTCCTTTAATTATTTGTTCTTTTTATAAAATCCACGTTTGAGCCCTTTACATATTCCTTAAAAAATCCAAGCTTCAGTCTTTTAAATATTCTTTAAAAATCCAAGCTAGAGCCCTTTAAATACTCGTTAAAAAATCCACGTTTTTTAAGTAATCCTCGCTACAGTCCATTTAATTTTTTTTTAAGAAATCCTCGCTTCAGTCCTTTAATTATTCTTTAAAATATACACGCGTCAGTCCTTTAAAAAATCTACGTTTGCGGCCTTTAAATATTCTTTAAAAAATCTACGTCTGAGCCCTTTTAAATATTCTTTGAAAAATCTACGTTTGAGCCCTTTAAATATTCTTTAAAAAATCCAAGCTTGAGCCTTTTTAAATATTCTTTAAAAAATCCACGCTTAAGCCCTTCAAATATTCTTTAAAAAAATCTACGCTTGAGCCTTTTTAAATATTCTTTAAAAAAATCCATGCTTCAATCCATAAAATATTCTTTAAAAAAACTACGCTTGAGCCCTTTAAATATTCTTTAAAAAATCCACGCTTGAACCCTTTTTAAATATTCTTTAAAAAACCCCATGCTTGAACTCTTTTGAAATATTCTTTACAAAATCCAAGCTTGAGCCTTTTTAAATATTCTTTAAAAATCCAAGCATGAGCCCTTTTTAAATATTCTCTAAAAAAATTCAGAAAATTCATTTTAAAATGTTCTTTTAAAATTTCCACGATATCATAAACTTTTAAATATTCTTTAGAAATCCAAGCATGAGCCCTTTAAATATTCTTTAAAAAATCCAATATTCAGTCCTTTAAATATTCTTTAAAAAATCCACGCTTGTGACCTTTGAATATTCTGTAAAAAAACACGATTGAGCCCTTTAAATCTTCTTTAAAACTCCACGCTTCAGTTCTTCAAATAGTCTTTAAAAATCTACTTTTATTGCTCAAATGTTTAAAAATCCTCGCTTATTGCTGTAGTAGTTCCTCAAAATATTCAATAAAAAATTCAGGCTTATTACTATTTCAGTTCCTCTAAAATATTATTTTTTACCCTGATAGCCCCTTATAAAATATTCTTTAAACATTCCACTCTTATATCTCAGATAGTAACTGAATAAATATTCTTAAAAAACGATGTTATAGCTCTGATAATATCTAAACTAAATTCACGCTTATTAATCTTAAGGGGGAAACACATACGAGGATTCAGGCCTGGCATGTTATGTTGGCTTTGTATGAAATGTATATTTATAAAGAAATATCAGAGTAAAACTTGAAATTAAAATAAGTCAACGTAACATGCCAATCCTGAAGTCCTCTAATGTGTTTGCCCCTTTACAGCATATCAAAATATATTTTTAAAAAATTCAAGCTTATATGTCATTCTGATGGTCCACAAATATATTTTTAAAAAATCCACACCATTAACTCGCCATAAAAATATTTTTTTTACAAATTCATAGTTATTGCTCAGATAGTACCTCCAAAAATATTGTCTAAAATAATTCACGCTTATAGCTCAGATAAACAATAAAAATAATACGCTTTTAGCATATATAGTCCCGCAGATATTGGATAAAAATTCTTGAAAAATCTGCTCTTATTATATATTCTTATTTACTTATCCACGCCTATAACTCTTCCGGACCCTCAAAAATATGATTATAAAATCCACTCTCTAATCATAAATTATGTGTCAATTATTATTATTAATTTTTAAAAATAATATTATTTTTATTCCCTTAAATCACTTTTAAAATATATATATTTTTTCCATCGAGCATTCTATCCAAAATATGAACAAAAATTCACAAGAAAATATTTAAAATAAGCAGATGTTAAATATGTCAACCTTGCCTATGAGATTTAAATTAATATGACCCTTTCTACCTAAATACGCTATAAAAATGTGGAAATTAAAAATATTTCCCGCACTTAAATGTGCCACATTAAATATTTCCATGAATTTTGCAATAAAATTCGAACTAAAATTAATCCTAACCTCAATTTAGTTATTTCGCTGCATGCAATGCCTACCTACTCGGTGTGTGTGTGTGTGTGCAACGAATACCGATTACTTGTGTTGGTGTGGCAACACTGCCACTGACAGGTAGTAAACAGTAAACATGGCGCGATGTGTCAAATGTCAATATAGTAATTTAAAAAATTCTAACGGCAGTTGATATTTACCTCGAGAGACGAACACACAACGCTGGGAAGATAGAAGAAAGAAGAGTGAAAAGAAGAAAGAGTGAATTTTCATTGTTTACATTACAATTTCGGCGCGAGGATAAAGACCAACAACAAATATATTCAGTTTATTTTTGTCTTAACAATTATTATTATTGCACATTAAAAATTGACATGTAAATACGAACAGAAATTAATAGTGCGAGAGAAAAAATCAAAACAATAACGTCAGCCGCCAGTGGAGAGACATTTGCACAAACAAACCAACAGATTGCAAAGATCATCATCACCATTGGCCCTTATAAAAATAGAAATACAAATAGTTTTGCAGCAGCTGGAGCAGAAGCAACGCAGAAACGCTGCACCACTATTTTCCATAAAAAATAGAGTGAGAGAGACGCCCTTTCTGGATAGTATATAAAAATAAGACCAACAAACTACTACCACCACCACCAATGTGTGCATAGACAAAAAACGGAGAAATAGAGAAGTACATTTTCTTCTTCTTCCTTGGAGGTAAAATTCAATTTCTCCAAAGGAATTTTTTTAAGCGTGGATTTTCAATTCCTTTTAAAGGAATTTCTATTTAATTTTGGTGTGCCTAGCTGCTGGGAGAAATCATTAAAGGACAACACAAAATACAGGACAACAAAACAAACAAAATGGATATGCGCAGCTGGAAAAAAGTACTGTTGCAATGGGTAAGTCAAATACAGATTCAAACATCGTCATACAGTACGGGGATAATACAACAACAATTGAAGTTCACTTTTTTCAAAACGCATGTTTTTTCTGTTTTGTAAAAGCGACAGCAACAACAACAAAGCAACACGATTAGTGGACAACAAAGGTGGTAAAAGATGTACTTTCCATGTCCGTAGCCTGTTGGGTTGTGTGCACACATTATGTGTGTGCGTGTGTGTGCCAACAAAAGGACGACCGGTGTTTTGGAATTGTTTGTGTGACGACATCACAATGTTGTAATTGTTGTTGTTGGTTGTCTAGTTTTGTAATTATTTACTTTTTGATTAGAATACAATTCGAAAGAGGATAAGCAATGTGGTTTCCTGATATTCAACCGCATGCATATAGTATTTGAATTTAGACAGGATGGCTAATGGGTATCCTTTCATATATTTACATCGAAATAAATTATAAGATATGATTGAATTTTGCCTGCAGAGAATAAGAAAATCGACTGAAGAAGTTCTTATCGAATTCACTCCACCATAATTTGGAGTTTACATTGTTATACTCACCATTATGAGGTGGAGTGTATAATGTGTCCTTTCAACACCTCCAAATATTGGTCGTAGACGTTATAAAGTGAATATAACCTGAACCATAATAAAATTCTAGGTGATTTCGTTATGTCCAATTTCTCTGTTGAAAATCCGATAGAGATAGTAATATTTAAGGGAGAACTTCAAAATTTTGCAACTATTCCTAGGATCTTTGATATTGTGTAGCCCTCCAAATTTCGGATATTTTTTTCTTTATTTGGAAATTGTGAGTACTCATTCTCTCTTTTTTTTAAAAAAATATTAATTTCGGTCCATTTTTTGTACAGCCCTAAAAACTAAACCACAAATTTTTGGTACTATATTGAGAATTTTGTAACTCATTTTTTTTTCTTTTGGGTTATTATTGTTTGGAAACTAATCCTACAATTAATTATCAATACCGGTCTATGTTTAGATATAGCTCCTATATAATGATACCGACCAATTTTCGATATTTTGAGGATGTTGAAAACTTTCTATACCTGTTTTGGCTGTATTCAAATATTTGGGAGTATATTTGGACGGAAAAATCTTCCCAATTTTTGAAAATTTTAGTATTCCAGGTGAATTTTTACAAAGCGTGAAATCTTCCTACCATAAATTATGAGTATAGGTCCATTTTTAGATTTAGTTCCCATACGTTATGCACAAATTTTCGGAATTTGAATATTTTGGATACGTTTTTCAACCGAATTGTCTCTAATTTTTTGAATGTCCCGTCCAATTTTTAATATCATATTTTTCAAACGAAGACGTTCAGTATTCATGATTGGCAAACAAATTTTTTACAGAACATGTAATCCCCGCTCAAATGTTCTCACCGAGCTTTACAGCTTTGCTTTTTCTTGTCTGCAATTTGTTAATTCGTTTTTACAGGGGGTAATAATCCATTTGGAAATCCTGTATTGTCATAGCTACCGAATTATTTAAGGTATTTTTTGGATGCCTTAAATTTTTAGCCGGTTTGAAATATTACGCCGTTTTTAATTTTTTAACAAATTTCCTAAAGGTGTAGAGTTTTTAAAAATATTTTCGTTATAGTAGACTTTTTTCAAAATAGTTTCAAAAGCGTAGTTTTTTGTTATTATTTTCGAATTCTTAGATTTTTAAATATATATTCGGTAGCGTAGATTTTTTTTTTTTTAATTTTTTCGAAAGAAAAATATTTTTATTTATAGATTTTTGGAGCACGTACCGAACTTAACGATGTTTTCATTTTTTTATTGTATTTAAAATTTCCCCTTTTTACATTTTTTAATAACGATTTTTTAAATATGGTAGATTTTTTTTTTAATTTTCCAAAAAAAATCGATTTTTAAAAAATGTGTTTCTGAGCACTTAACAGAAGCCAGAATTTGTTTTTAAATATTTTTTCAGATCCCACCAGAACATTTTTCTTTTTTCATATCAATTCGTAGTTATTGTTCCTCATATGAAATGTTTTTTAAGGATTGATTTTATATCATTGTAGGGAAATAGTTATTTTAAACATCAGAGATTTTTTTGAAGAACTCTCGAATCCAATATGCTTTAAATATTTTTTTCAAATTGTTTAAAAATATATCTCATCATTATTTTCTTTTCCCATTTAACAGGTCACTGAATGTGGTTTTATGGAACGCAATTATTTCAATATCGAACAATCCGATATTGATGCATTCTATCACAATTTCAGTTTACAACATCCAAGGACAGCCAACAATGACAAATGTAAAAAGATCAGTGATTTTCTAAAAGGTATGTTATTAATCAATCTGCTTCTTTATATAAAAAATTATCAAAAATCGAATTTCCTTTCTGTTTTTTTCCAGAATTCTATCCCAAATTTGAAGTCCATCTTGATGATGAAAATTGTTTAAGTTCATCGGATTACATCTATTTGTATTCGTTATTTTTGCATTTCTGTTGTGTTAAACATCCACAGACTGTATTTCATGAAATATGTCAACGTTTGCCTGAATTTGCCCAACAATGTATTGCATCGTTTTTTAAGGAGCTGCTTGAAACAGAACCAATCACAAAGGAAGCATTACGCCATGCCATTGCTGAGGTAGTGACAACACATGTTTCACCACCACGTCTCAATGATTCCATATCGAGTAATCAATCCGCCCTGAGTATTTTGGGCGGAATTGGAGCTGGAGGTGTTGGTGGTGCTGCTAGCATCAGTAGTAGTATAACGTCACCTAGTTTTAGTCGTTGTGATTCACCATTGAAGACGCCAAAACGCTGCGCCGGACCGCAACGCATATCACCAACGACACCTAAATCATATTTGCTCGAAGAGCGACAACGTGAATTGTATAATTTAAGGGTAAGGCGATTTATTTTGTTAATTTATTTCAATAATTAAACGAATTTCAATTTTTAGGCCCAGCTTGAAACGGAACGTTATGAGAAGGGCCTCTTAGAGGTACAAATCAAACAAAATGAGGATAAAATCCTTAAATTAAGTAAGTATGATGAAATATGTTATAGTTGTTTTAATTAGTAAGATTTTCTTTTTGTTTTTTTTTTCCGTAGATCAAGATCATAAAAAATTACAACATCAAATCCAAGATTTGAAAAATGACATTTTATTAAAAACTAGTGATGGCACTAATGCTTCCAATCGTGAAGGTCATGTAGAACAGGTATGTGGCAAACAAGTAATATTATTGAATGTATAAGAATTGGTGTTGGCAATCTAAATTTCTGACTTATATATTTTGTACATTCAAAATTCTTTAGTGTGGATTAGAATATTTTGTTGGGATTTTTCTAAACTAATGCTAAAATGTCACTTTAAAATTCTGGGAAATTTTAATCCTTATCCTTATTTTAGATCCACAAACGTTTACTCAAGGAAATGACATTGAAAGAAAATGAAATCATAAAACTCAATGATGTGGTTGGTAAACTGCGCGAGGAAAAAGCCTTAGTTCAGGAAAAACTAAGCTATGCCCAAAAACAGATTGCCATATGCATGAATCGTATAAAAGAGTTGGATTATAAGGTCGACGAATTGAGTGATACCATTGAGGTAAGTTGTAAATGGTCAAAATGTTTTCTTGATTTAATAGTAATATAATCCTGTTTTCTTATTTATTTCATATCTAAAGAAAAGAGATGGAACCATTAAATATTTAACCGATAGTAAACTAGAATTAGAACAATACATTGCTGAATATCGTTCGGCAAATATGCATAGCGATTTGAATGGTTCTATGGAATGTTTTGATTCTTCATTTGCTCGCAATATTGGCAATACAAATGCCTCTAGCAATGTTAGTAGCCCGGAAAATCTTGGAGCTTCGGTCATTGATATCCAGCTCAGGGAAAAGGAACATGAAAATTCCAAATTAAAAGAAGAACTGGAATTGGTTAAGGATGAGCACAAACGTTTGGCCAAAAGTCTACAAGATTTGGCCGAAAAGCAGGCTAAAGAATTTGATATTGTCTGGGAACATCACAGTGAGCTTGCTGATGAATCACAACCTGACGTAGATTCCATACTAAGTGATCCTCTTGAACAATTTAGTTTGTTTACCAGTTGTATGGAAAAAATTAGCAGCTTCCATAAAATAGAGAAAAATAAAATCCAGGAATTGGAAGAGGAAGGTAAAAAATTACAAAACGAAAATGCCGATTTAACATTGAAATTAGAGTCATTAAACCAAGAGGTTATGGAATTAAAAACCAATGTCACCGAGGTCCAGAAAAACAATGAACAATTGTTAAAGGACAAGGAAATGTTGGTGGACTCGGAACGTAAACAACAAATGGAATTGGAACAGTTGATGACACAAAAACAACAACTCTCCACTGAGTTACAAGAAGTAATAGCCAGCAAAAATTTACTTGATGAAGATCTAGCGAAAACTAAACAAGAAACCGAAGATATGAAAAAGAAAACTGCAGCTATGCAAGAGGATTTCATGAAAAAATCCCAAGAGTTTGAATTACAAATCCAGGAGCTTTTGCAGCAATTGAATAAACAAAATGAAGAATTGAAAAATCAGCAATTAACTGAAACATCTTTGAAAGTCAATTACGAACAACTTGTTATTGAAAATGAAGAACTTAAAAATAAATCACACAATGCTGATAAACATCTCAGCGAAATGAAACATGATTTGGAGGAAAAACAACAAGAAATATCAAAATTGGCTGAGAAAATTTCTCAATTCTCAGAGAAAAATTCCGAATTGGAAAAGAAAATCAATGCTTTGCTGGACGAATGTGAAAAAGAGAAGCTTGCTTATAAATCGGGTCGAGATGAAATTAAATCATTGGAACAACAATTGGAGACCTTGCAAAAGGAGAAAGATATTGAAATTTCCAACTTAGAAAAGGAAATGGATGTATTGAAGGAGAGAAATGCAAATATTGAAAATGATTTCGATAATCTACAAAAGCACCATGAAGAGAAGTTGCAATTGTGTCAGGAGGACAATGAAAAGTTGCAAAACCAAATTATTGTCCTTCAACAGGAACGTGAAGAAGAGAAATCGGTATTGGAAACTAAACAAAAAGAAGAATTGCAGATTCTAGAAGAACAAGTGACGAGCTTGGAATTGGAAAAACAAGACTTGTTAAACAAAATTGAATTGCAGACAAATGAACAAATGGACAATGAAAACAAACACAAACAAGAAATTCAAACCTTGGAAGAACAAATTAAATCGTTGACTTGTGAAAAAGATAATTTAGAAAAGAATATTAGAGATATCTCCGGAAATTGTAAAGACCATGAACATATTATTGCCAAACTTAATGAAGAAAACCAACAAGAAAAGTTAGAGCAAGATGTTTTGAAAGAAAAACTGATTGTTTTGGAAACAACTCTTAACGATATGCAGAATAACACCATCCAGCTTAAAGAACAAATTGAGAATCTTAAAGAAGAGAAACTCAAACAACAATTGGACTTTGAGTCTCTGCAAACCCAACATCATGAAGAAGTCAAAACCTTGGGAGATAATTTTAATAAACTACAAATGGAAAAACAAAATGAAATACAGAATTTATTGAAGGAAATTTCTGTGCAAAAAGAAAAGTACGAAACTCTGGAGAAAGATCAACAACAAGCTGAGGCTATAAAACTCCAACAACAAGAAAATCTTATGAAAATGGAAACTAAGCTTCAAGAACTACACAGTTCCTTAAATGAAACTAAAGATGAATTGTTGCACTCCCAACAAAACCACAAGGAAATGGAAAAATTAACAAGTAATTTGTCAACGATTATTAACAACACTCTCAAATTGTTTAACATTACACCCAACAATGAGAATTCATTGGAAAATATTTGCAATTTGGAACAAGAAATTAAAAAATTACTACAACAAAATAATGAACTGAGATCCAAGGTAAATAATCAAGGATCGTCACAAATCGATACCACCCATAGGCTACAACAATTGGAACAACAACTCAATGAAAAGAATCAAGAACTTGAAAAACATGCCAAAGAACTTGACTCACTGCGTGAACAAACCGAGGAATATGAAACGAAATTCGTCCTCCTTCGTGATCAACAAAATAAATTTGTTGAAAAAATCCAACAAGATATGGATAAAAAAGAAAAAGACTTCAACCAACAGCTAGAGCAAGCAACGCAGGAATATGAAGCCTCTTTGGAACGTATTCGTCATGAATTGACATTGGAAAAGGAACATTATGAAACCAAAGAAAAGGAATTGTTGATGGTAATTGGCCAACACAATGATGTGAAAAAACAACTTATCGAAAAAGAATCTGAAATTACCAAACTTATGGCCACCCTGGAGGCACTCCAAGAACAAAATCAAAAATTGAAGTTATACGAAACGCGAGTTAGTGAATGTTCCATGGAAAATAATAAGCTGCAAGAAGAAATTGATAGCTTTAAACATGAAGTACATCAAAATGCTCTACGCCTGGTGGAAGCCGATAAAGCACTTAATGAATTATTGGATTTGACCAAGGAACATGAAAGCAACAAACAACAGATTCTCAAACTTCAAAGTGAACTAAAAGAAAAACAAAACACTTTAGATTCACAACTGGAGGTACAGGAAGATTTGGAACAACAAGTTAAGCAACAAAGTGAAGCCATTTCTAAACTGTCGGAGACCTTAAAGAAAATTGAAAACCTAAAGGAAAACTTGGATCAACAACTGCATAAGGAACAAGAAGAAAAAACTCTTTTGTTAGAGTCCTTGGAAAAATCCACAGACCAATTGAAATCTTTGCAGGAGGAACAACAGCAACAAAAATCTTCATGGGAAGAAAAATTCATAGATCTCAAACAACAAATGGATGAGCTAACATTGCAAAACACCAAACTGCAAGGTGATTTGGTGGAGCGTGATGCTGAGTTACGCATGAGTTTGGAAGATCATGAACAAGAGCGAGATAGCTTCCATGAAGAATTGTCGCAAGTGAAACAAAAACTCCAGCTGGCAAATGAACAATTGGAACAATTTGATATGTCGCTAATGGAAATACTGGCCATTATGGAAAATAATTTCAATTTGAAACGTGATTTCGAAATGCAATCCTCCATCAAGAATACATTTAATGTTCGTGCTGGCGATGATAAGGAACAGAAAATCAATCAACTAAGAGGCAATCTTAATATTATCTTCCACCTGGACCAACAGCAACGTACAGAGCACAATGAAACCCTCAATGCTTTGAAATCAATTGAAAAATCCAATGTTGCTTTGCAAACAACAATTGCCAAACATGAAAAGAATCTACAAGAACTAAGAGAACAATTGGAAAATGAAGAACAAATTGCCGAAAAGAGAATGTCTCATGAAGTCAAACGACTTGAAGAGGATCTTCACAATTTGGAACAAATCAATGAACGTTTGACCAATGGTAATTTTGAATTACAAGAAACCATTGGCCAACAAGAGAAGGATTTGGAACAAGCCAAAGCTGCTATTCAAAAACTCGAACAAGAAAAACAAAACCTTCAATCGAATGTTAACGACAAATCTCAACAAATTGAAAAATTGCAACAACAAGAACAGTCACTACAACAACAGCTCAAAGACAAATCACAGCAAATCGAAAAGGTTCTGGAAACATCCAAACTTCTTGAACAACAAATTGAAGAAAAGTCCCAGAAGCTACAGAGTCTTAACAAAGAATATCAAGATCTGAAGGACACAACACTAAAACAGCAACAACAATTAATTGAGGAGCTACAAGAGCAATTGTCTTCTCTGCAAGCAGAACAATTGAAACTCAATGATAAAGTGAAACAATTGCACAACACAAACGATGCCCTAGAGACCGAGGTTTCAAACAAAACTAAAGAACTTCTAACGCTCAATAACAAATCCGATGAACTTTTGCAATCTCTACAAAATGTCGAACAACAATTGCAATTGACCACCAAAAAACTCGATGAAACCGAAGCTTTGAAATTGAACAGTGAAAGTAATTATCAACAAATTCAATCCGAAGCTCAACAATTGAAACGAGATATGGATTTCCTTAAGGCTCAACAACAATCGGCCGTTGAAGAAAATCAACGTCTCAACAATGAAATTGAAAGCCTCAAGCAGGACAAACAACATTTGCGTGAGGAAATCCGAGATACCAAAACAGATCTTCAGAGAGCCAATGATAATGTTACCCAGCTAATACAGCAAATTGCCTCCATACGCATGGAAAAGGAGTCTGTTGTGGAAGAAAACACCTTGATGCGTAAGCAGTTGGAGGAGAGTGGTAAACATCATTCATCTTCTGAAAATAAACTGAAATCAATTATCGAAAAATCCCAGGAGTGCGAACGCAAACTGTTGACCACCGAAAATGAGTTGAAATCCACCAAGGCCTCTTTGGAGAAATGTGAATTGAGCAATCAAAAACTAAGCACAGAAAATGCCAAGCTAAAGGATTCTCAAGAATCTTCAACAAAGCGCATTGAAAAATTGGCCCTCAAACTGGGTGATTCCCAAGCTAAGAGTACCAAACTTGAAAGAGATAATGAAAAGTTGAGTAAAGCCTTGGAAGCTCACAGCACCACTGTTGAAGCTTTGCAGAAGGAAAAGGATGTCTTGCAAAATGAAGCTAAGGCCCTCAAAGAACGTCTCTCCAGAGCTGAACGTGCCCATGAACAATTGGCTGCCAAGGTACAAAATCTTGAATTGCTTAACAGTCAACTGCAAGAAACCAAACAAAAGCTGGAAGCCTCCGAAGTTGATGGTAAATCCAAACTCAATAAAATGGATAAAATGCGTATCTCAAATGAAGAAAAAATACGCAAACTGGCCAACTCCCTCAACAATGCAGAGAATACCAATGTTAAATTGAATTTGGAAATTGGTTCTCTAAATTCACAATTGCAAAAGCTAAAGGCCCTTAACAACCAGGAACAGGTGCAAGATCTAACACACAAATTGGAACTGGCTCAACATCAATGCCAGCAGCTGGAAGACTTAAATGAGAAACTGCAGCAAGAAGTTGATCATCTGAAAGAGGATAAAACCAATCTCACCGATCAGCTATCCAAACTCACCCTGACTCTACAAATTACACGTAACGAATTAGAAGAAATTCGTTCCGAGCTGTTAGTTATACGTGATGAAAAATCTCGTGTTATCGTTGAACATGAAACATCCACTTTAAAACTAAGAGATTTGGAAACGCAAAATGATAATCTCCTGCATGAACGTAAAAATCTTGTGACCACATTGGAATCACGTATTGCCTCGCTGGAAGAACAATTATCGACAAAATGTAAAGAAGTAGATAATTTGCAACATGAAATACAAACATTACGTGAAAGTTCGGAAACCAATTCATCGTTGTTGTTACAACAACACAGCGCTGTCAATCATTCGGAATTGGAACAATTGCGTGAAAGATTGTCCACAGCCGATGATGCGCTGCAAAAGGAACAACAAATTGTTGCCCAATTACGTTTGGATAATCAAATTTTACATACGAAATATCAAGAATCGAAGCAGCGTGTCTTGGATGCTACAAAGAATAGTGAGGAACGCATTAAGGAAAATCGTTTAGAATTGGAAGGCAAATTAGAGAAAATGAAAAATAAAATGGTAAGTGTTTTACGATTTTTCTTTTTCAATTTTTATTTGATTGTTGTTTTGTTTTAATAGTTGTTTTTCATATTCCGTTCATTGTTTTTGTCCCTTAAACAAATATCCTACATATACTTACATTTTATGTATATCACTACATACACTATACACAAGGGCATCACACTGTATGTTTTATTTATTTTTTCCTTTTGATTTCATATTTTGTTGTTGTTGTTGTGTTTTTTAATTAAATGTCTATTCGTCAGTGTTTATATGTTTTTGTGTTGCATGATGGTATTAGATTTCTTGTTCCTCAATATTTTGTATTAAAAATGGCCAATGAGGTTTCCAGAATCAAATTTTAATATAATTGAGGTGTGTTCTCAAGATAACCACTAGGTCCGCAAATAATATTATCTTAGGTAATTTTAAAATTTTTTTCTCAATGATACACTATATTTTTCTCTATGATACAAGATTTTGTATGCGATACTCATTCGAGAAATATAGGCCCCAGTGGAACAGAGACCAAAAATCTATATTTATACTGTGGAACAACAGAATATGTCTTCGTGCATACGTTTGTAACAGGCAAAAGGAAATGAGATAGACATATGGTTCCTTTTGAGAATATGCATAGAATCACTATCTAAGTCGATTTATGCAGGTCCGTCCGTAGGTTAGTCTGTCCATGTTAAATTGTAAATAAAGTACAGGTCGCATTTATAATCCGAATTGGATGAAATTTGACACAGTTAATTTATTTGACCCAAAGGCGAACCCTATTGAAATTGAAATCGGTTCAAATTTACATATAGTTCCCATATATTATCGGCCGATTTAAGGTAAATGGTGCACCAAGTACCTATATACCTTTCGATATATAGGTACTTTGGGTGACGTTTGTTAAGTTTCGTGAAAATCGGCTCAGATTTAGATATACCTCCCATATATATTTTCGTCAGATTTTAGGAAAATAGTGCACCAAAGTCCCTATATATCCTTCGATTTGCATGAAATTTGGCATAGCGTTCTGAATTAAGTCTAGAACGATGTGTGTTAAATTTTGTGAAGATTGGTTCAGATTTAGATATAGTTCCCATATATATTTTCGTCCGATTTTACGTAAAGAAAAAAATATAGGGACTATATCTTTCGATTTGCACGCAATTTGGCATAGCGTATTGAATTAAGTCTAGAATGATGTGTGTAAAGTTTCGTGAAAATCGGCTCAGATTTACATATAGCTCCCATATATATTTTCGTCCGATTTTATGTAAATGGCGGACGAAGGCTCCTATATATCCTTCGTTTTGCATGAAATTTGGCATAGTGTACTGAATTAAATCTAGAATGATGGGTGTAAATTTTCATGAAAATCGGTTCAAATTTATATATAGCCATTTATATGTTCGTCCGATTTAGTGTAAATGGTTCGCCAAAGTCCCTATATATCTTTCGATTTGCACGAAATTTTGCACAGCGTGCTGAATTAGATCTGGAGTCATGTCTGCCAAGTTTCGTGAAAATCGGTTCAGATTTAGATATAGCTCCCATATATATTTTCGTCCGATTTAATGTAAATGGTGTACCAAAGTCCCTGAAAATCATTTGATTTGCACGAATTTTTGCATAACGTACTGAAATAAGTCTAGAATGATGTGTGCTAATTTTCGTGAAAATCGGTTCAGATTTCGATATAGCTTCTATATATATTATATTTTGGATTCTGATTTAGAAGAAATTATCCATATTAAAAATTATTCTATATCGGCTCACCTTTAGTTAAAGACTTCCGATCTCCATGCGAATTTGGCTTAGAAAATCTTTTTGAAATGTTTCTGTACTGATCCTCCTCCTTGATATATCCCCTATAATATCTAACAGAACTCAAGTTACATTTCGGCAATTTTTTAAACAACTAAGAAACTAAATTAAAAAACATGTCATGCAACGCCATTTTCTTTTCTTACATTGCTTTTACCCCACCCAAACTTCAAAAAATAATTCAGTTTTTTTTTCATAACACCCCCCTTATATCACACAGAACACTTGCATCCTTAATTCTAAATCATTTTATTTTTTGTAATGTATTTAAAAAAATTGTTTGATTTTAAAATTCGTTTTTTTCTCTCTCTCTCTCTTCTCTTACTTAAAGTTTGAATTTGAAACTGCAACAACGTCGTTATCAACAACAAGTGTTGGTGGATGTAAGCTGCATTGGAAAAATCGCGTACATCCATGTTTTCGATATTTCTTTGTTGTGGTTTTCTGTCAAATTATTTTAATTGGAATTCTAAATTATTTTTTAAACAAAAACGATTTAGAGTTAATATTCAAAAGCAATAGACCAGCAGTGTTTTGATAAAATAGAGAAAAAATTAAATCTAAACCCCACAATATGGGAATAATTAGATTAGAGAATTCTAGTTATGGAAGAAAAGGCTGTGCCTTTTTCCACACACACACACACAAACACAATGCTAGTGTGTAGAATAGTATTAATAATAGTATATTGTTATTTAAAATACTTTATTCTATACATTTTTAAATGCATGCCAAATAATATTGACATATTTACTTCACTTTGTGCAAAAATTACTTTACAGAAATTTTGTAAAAAAAAATGTAAATAAATTAATTATTATATTTTTGTAGCATAAAATATCGAAAATTGTGCATTTATATGTTTACTGTGATGTCCTTGTGTTCTGTCTGTGATATTAAAATATGTTTCGGCGGGTTAAGGTCATATAACAAATTTTGATTTATCTCCTTAAAAAAAACGAAAAAAACAAAATTTCAACTCAAAAGAAATTCCCCTACACTTGCGATCTTGTTCCCTTATTTTCATTACTTGCAATTTCTTATTTGTTCTTTTCTTCCCCATTCTTATACATGTATTTTTATTATTTTATTTGTTGTACACCATCAAAACCTGTCTGGCTTTTTTGCGTTTCATTCCAAAAAATAAAATTAAAAATCCAAACCACACCCTCTTCAATATTGAACCAATCCAACCAACAATAGAAAACTCTATATACGGAAGAAATAACGAAAATGAAAACGAAACAGGAACGTGAAGTGGCCAATATTAAATCGGAAATGGAGGTTTTGAAAGCCCAGGTATGTATTTAAAATTCAATAATATATAATCCATAACAATTCAAATATAATTTTATTTTCCTCTTCTTTTTTGTTATCACAGAACTCCAAATACGAAGAACACACCCGCAAACTTTCCAATCAAATTGTTCGTTTAAATGACAATATTCTCGAGTATCAAAAAGAAAATACCATTTTATCGACGAAATTAAAACATCTTTTGGAACATCATGAAAGTGAAAAATTCAAACGTCCCAATTCTATTCATGTCTCAACAATATCTTCATCCACGGGTTCAACGGGTGCCTCGAATACCGGCACCAATTTGGCCATGGAAGATGAAGAAGGTGAAGTTTTTAATAATACCTATTTGACAGATTTGAAGACAGGTCGCATGTCGGAGTTTATGAGCAGAGAAGTTTGGTAAGTTGATATAATTTTTGTAACGCATTTTTAGTTCTAAAAGAATGAGGATTTTTTTGCGTAGAAAAATTTAGGTCCTCAGAGCATGAAAACATTTTTATGGAGAAAAATTATTTGTTGGTGTTTTAAAAACAATTGGTTTTGTATGGTCAAAGAATATGTTTTTCTATAGAAAATATTCAATTTAATTGTCTTCATTTAAAATTTTTAAATCCTACGGCAAAATATTCAGAGACCCAAAATAAAATATTATATTTTTGATCCTATGATAGAGCTTTACAATTTGATCGGACATTTGTACTACTCCTTGGTTGTTTGGTATTTGAAAAATGAGATATATTGGTCGAAGTTTGGTTATACCCGCCATTTAACGCTACCCTTAATATTCGAAAGTTTTTGCAAATGGTTTTAATCGAATTGACTCTAATTAGATATTTTGGGCTCTCATTGAAGGCAAATCTTCCTTCCAAAAATCATCAATATCGGTCCACGGTCTAAAATCATGAATATCAATACACCTAAATTTTCGGTAATCGGAGGATTTCATACACTATTTTATCCGAATGATCTTCAGTTTACAATTTTAGTTTAACATTGGTTGGCAAATATTTCTAAAAAAATGTTCAGTATAAGTCCACGTTAGGGCATAGCCCACATTTTCGTTATTTTGTGGGGTTGAGTCTTATTTTCATTTCAAACAGAATGGACTGTAATTTGGGATACGTGGTTCTTGCAGAGTGAAGTTGTATTTTCCCAACAAGTGTATATAGGTCCATGTTTTGACATAGTCCCAATAAAAAGGTTCCTCATTTGCGGTATTTTTACGTTTTTTGTCGTATTTTCCCATCGAAGTGATTATAATTCGAAGATACATCTATACTTAGCTGGCTTGGGACAGAACTTTCGTTCCTTAAGCCGAGCCTAAAAAAGATTTCCAGGCGCGTCGTTCTTTTGCGCAGTTTTCCCAATTTGAAAGAACATATTTGGCAATGTTGTCTTCCACTTGGTGTTTCCATCTTATTATTAATAAAGAACCATATTTTGATAATGATCTCGACCTATTTTTTTCTTGTTTCTGTAGAAAAAATCCTTGCGTCTTAGAACACATTGCTTCCATCGAAAACAATAATTAGACCCTATGCATTGATTTTTTGTACAGAAAAAATGCTTCTTTTTTAAGCCGTATTTTCTCATCGAAGTGATTATAATTCGAAGATCTATATAAAAACAAAAATCCACAGGAGTTATTTTTTTATATATTTTTGTAATCGCTTTTATAATTTTTATCCATCATCTTTCTTTTTGCAGCACCGAAGAACTTAAATATCGCAATTCACTGTTACCACCGCATCTAAGAAGTTCGTATGCCGCCCAATATGATAGTGAAATTGCCGAAGATGAATTAAAAGTAAGCAATCTAACACATCCCGATTTAATTAGTAATTTAACAAATATCACCCATAATAATTACACAACACCATCACCACCACCTCTATCACTGACATCGTCGTCGTCATCGGCATCATCATCAACGCCATGTACATTGTTGCATGATGATGTTGATGGTGATAACTTGTGCAAGCATCACCACCACCATTTGGTACCCCAGAACACAGCGTCTAAACATATTTTACATACATCACAGCTGAGCAATATTAGTTCCATTGCTCCGTCGTCGTCGACAAGCAGCAGCTGCACACCAAAAACCATTAAGACATTGCATTCCACGCCCATGATAAAAAAGAAAATGCATCCAAATATTTCTAGAATTATAAATCGTTTAAATTAAACTTTTGTGTTATATCCAATCAAAATTCAAAGACTCTTATATATGTTATATATGTAATCTCCCCATCCCCCAAACAACATTCACATCTTCCTTCTCTAGACAATTTTGTTTGTAAAACAAAAACAAAAAAATGCAAATTTTACATTTGATTCTAAATAAACAAATATTTGAAATTGTGAATAGTAATAAAAAAATAAGATAAATAATTCAAATCAATATTTTTGTTTGTTTACAAATTCAAAACAAAAATCGTCGCAATATTTATTATTTGTATTAATGTTTGTCCCCCTAAATGTGTTGCAATTGTCTTTTTGTTTGTGTTTGTGTTGGTGTTATTATTATTATTATTAGATTGATGTAAAATATATGTGTTTGTGTGTATTTTGATAATTATGTGGTGTCGGTTTACTAATATTTCCCTTTTTCAGCAAATTATCTTTACAAATGTATAAATCATTAATTTTATTTGTATTTTTTTCTAATATTAATTTAGGATGGCCCCCATAGCTTTGATGATAGCATGAGCGCCTTGTTAAGCACCACTAATGGTGGTAATCGCAAAAAATGCACCGGTGTCACCCACTATAAACGTCCCGGTCCACCCACACCCAGTAAAAATGGCCGCCTCTCATTTGGTGGCTGCGGCAGTTCAGAACCTATGCGTGAAATCCTAAAGGAATCATTTGATAGTGCCAATTCTGGTGCTACTGGTACGGTATCATCGTCATCTGCCAAAACTCCAGCCCGTTTCAATTTCTTTGCATCACGTTTCAGCATGGGCAATGGAAAAGATGAGGTAAGTTTCGTATTTTTTTTATAATCATTATATTTACGTTTTTGTTGTTGTAGTATGTGTGTATAGGTATTAGGGAGAAATTTATGGTTTGTGTGAACTTGGAAAAAGTTAATACTTCGGAAGGATATACAATCATTGTCCTTTGATAATAATTATATATTACATAAATTTTAGGACTTCCTGAATTCAGTTTTTTCAATAAGGAAGTTCTTCTGTTGAAATTAAGAAATAGTTAGTCCTAACGAAAGATATTTTTATACCCTTCACCACACTGTGGTACAGGAAACTAGATAGACACATGGTTTCTTTTGAGAATATGGATAGAATCACTTTCTGAGTCGATTTATACATGTCCGTCCGTCTATCCGTCTGTTGGTGTTAAATTTTAAACAAAATATGGGTCGCATTTATGATTCGAATTGGATGAAATTTGGCATAGGTCACTTATTTGGCCCTAGGACGAACCCTATTGAAATTGGGAAAAATTGGTTCAGATTTAGATATAGATCCCATATATATTTTCGTCCGATTTAATGTAAACGGTCCCTATATATCTTTCGATTTGCACGAAACGTGGCACAGCATAACGATTTAGGTCTAGAATGATGTGTGTTAAGTTTCCTGAAAATAGGATCAGTTTTAGATATAGCTCTTATATATATTTTCGTCCGATTTCAGGTAAATGGTGTACCAAAGTCCCTATATATCTTTCGATTTGCACGAAATTTGGCACAGCGTCCGATTTAAGGTAAATGGTGCGCCAAAGTTCCTAAATATATTTCTATATGCACGAAGATTGGCATATTGGCTAGAATGATGTGTGCAAAGTTTCGTGAAAATAGGTTCAGATTTAGATATACCTTCCATACATATTGTCTGCCGATTTTAAAAATACGAAGTTTGTCCAATTTGCACAAGTCTGACCTTACTAATTTCCTTACTGGTGCTTTCTATAGAAAATAAATTCAATCCCCTTTCTATAGAAAATTTTTCACATAAATTTTTACTAGACCTACGATGTTTGGTATTGGACCTTTATTGTTCATTATTTTGGGGAATTTGGGCACGTTTTACCGCCGAATTGGCTGTGATTTTATATTTTGGATTCTCAAGTCTTCTTACCAAAAATTATCAATATTGGTTAGATTTCTAGGGTGGTCCCCTCTATAAGGTACGGCCCAAATTTCGATATTTGAGAAGTTTGGGTATATTTTTCAACCTAATTTGCTGAAAATTTATATTTTGGATTATCATCGGATAGAATAATCAGCTCAAAAATTTCTCTCAATTAATGTTTAATCAGTGCTTGTGTGTTCCCATTTGTTCCATTGTTCGTCCATCTGTCGCGTGTGTGTTCATTTGTGCGTGTTGTCCAAAGGTTGTATCAAAATCATTCTCAATTACAATTTTCTATTGTTATTTTGCATTCCAAAGAAACATCCCGTCCCGCCTAAAAAAGAAATTGTTATTAAGCAAACGAAACCAATCGCTGCCAAACCTCTTGCTACGGCAATACCGAAAAAACCTCCTCTCCAAACTACCGCCAAAGCGGCCATACCCAGACATTTATTGGGTGGTGTTGTATGTACATCAACACCGCGTAAGAGTAAAGTACATTATGATCAAAGACGTTTATTGGATCAGCTGTTGACATCCTCGCCATCACCCTCACCTTTGGCCGCCGCAATGGATAATAAACATTTGAAATTGAAGAAAAAACCGATAACACCTCCTGATGTTAGTTTTATAGAGACCCCCTTGAGTTCGTTAATGAAACCCAATGGAGGGGAGCCACCTAAGGCACCGACCCGGAAGCAAACAGCAGCTAAGCGCATTGAAGCTATTGCTGCAGGATTGAAAAATAAACGACGTAATTCGTCAATTTATGGCCGGCGTTTATCGAGACGTCTGCAGGAGATATGTACACCCACCAGCGGTGAGACAACTTCATCGGCTTTTTCGAATACACCCCAGGATTTAAAGAAACGCCGACAGACAATAAGTTCGGCTACAACCACCACATCGGGTGGTGTATCAAATGTCACAGTGGTTTTGCAAAAACGTTGCCTTAAGAAGAAACCACAAAAAGAGCGAAACGGAAGACCTTCCCTATGTCTCAAGAGCAATATATTTGCCAAGCAACATCGTACACCAAATAAGGGTGTGTTACACGATTTGAATAGATACAAGTCTCGTAGACAAAGATTTGATCGGTTCAATAGGGGCAGGGATGTAACACAACATGATTCAAGTGATGAGGAGGAGGAGGAGGACGTGAGGGAAGAAGAGGTGGAAATGAAATTTGTGCCCAAAAATATCACCTATGAAATAAAACCTTTTGGGAGCCTATATAAACCCCCAAAGTTGGGAGAAACTGTGGTCATTACAAAATTAGAAAAGGAGGACGATTTGGTGGGAGAACAGTTTGAAAATACCGCTGAAGATGAAGAATCATTTTTGTGTGCCTCCGAGGTATTTGATACCCAAGATGCTGTGGATTGGCAAGCAACAAATGACAGTGATCGTATTTGTCAATACAATAGCAGCAGTGATGAACCAGAGGAGGAGGAAGAAAATGAACATAAATTCCTAACAAATAATATCAAATGTGAAAGAAGAAGCATTGCAATGCAAAAGGAGTGTAAAAAGGAATTGGTTACTTCCCTGGATTTAGAAGAATTTGATCGTTATGTCAGCGATTTGGCTAAGGTTAAAAAAGAACCTGAATCCTATTCATCGGCCGGAAGTTCTCAACAATTTGAAAAGCTAGTTTTGGAAACCCAATCGAATGCACCCTTTGAAGTGAAACATATTAAATTTAATATCAGTGGTAATTCAACTACTCATCATCATGGTGGCAAGCACCAGCAGCAGTATACGTTTGCCAGTAATTCCACACAACACAGCAGCAACATTAGCAGTCCTCAGCATGATGATGATTTTATGTTACCCGAACATTGTGAGCTAATGGCCACAAAGGCATCACCCCATTATTCACCCACAAATCAACAGAATAATCCAGCAAATCTATCGCGTATTATTTATGGTGGTACGGTGATCTATAATCGCCGTTTGCCGAATATTAACACAACCTATGTACGAAAATCTTCCATTTATGTTAAGAACAAGAAAAGTAATGCCACCACCACCACCATGTCCGATTCAAATGCCGATGTCATTCTAATAACCAATCAAACAATAACGGCTGCAGATTTGGCACGCATGTGGAAGCAAATGGATAGTTCAGCCCGTTTGATAGTTAGTTTTGCCGCTTTGGCATCATTTACAACCGTTTTGGGTTTATTTTTGTCATTCTATTCGACAAAGCATTAAAGAATTCGATTCGATGTATTTCGGAAATTAAATATTTTTTGTCATCATTATTATTATTTATATATTTTTTTATATTTAATAAGAGAGTTCCTTATATTATCATTTAAAATATTTATGTATATCTACTATCTAAACATGAAGGAAATTTAGAAATATTGAAATATTTTCCAGAGGACCTTCGTTAAAAATAATCCATTTAATTTATAATTTTTTCACTTATACTTGTAATTTATGTAATTATTTCATATTTTTGTATTTTTAAAAGAGTATATTCATAGTTATTCGATGGAGAAGTAGAGAACCACCAACAAAAGAGAAATAAAACATTAAAATAAAATGTATTTCTTCTCTTTAGAAAGAATTCTGTGTCGGAGAAAAAAAACCCACTGGAGGAGGTATTTAGCATCAATGTTTTTTAATTGCCGCCTGAGAAACGTGTCAAAATTATTGTCATTGGGTGATTGTATCAGCTGATAATTTAGGAAGAATTTAGGAAAGGGCTATGTTAAGTTGTGTTTTTGCTGGCCCATTTGGTAGCTCTAATTTCGCATTCCTGGTTTTTTCTTCGTAAAAATGTTCAATATAGGTCCATTTAAGGTATTTTCAAAGACTAGGCTTATTTTCCAAACGAAATGACTTTAATTTCCATTTTCGAGTTTTTGAAACTAGTTTACGGAAACCAACCCCATATAAAAGACCAGCCAGAACTTTTAAAACCTGGTACACGACCTTAGAAGACCATAGAGAGATATCACTTGCAGAGTGGAATTTGTTCATATATATTTTTATATTTTAATTGAAGACTTCTCCTATATTATTTTTATATATTACTAATTTAACTAATTTATAATAGAATCCCTTTGCATTACGAATTCTAATTATTATTTTATTTTTTTACAGAATACGCCACCCACCAATAAAAGACGTTTGAGCAGCATGTTCAAAAGAAAATAATTTTGGATTATATAGAAAGAGGCCTTCTCTATGGCTATATATTCTGTTCAGTGTATGATGTCGTCCAGTATTGTAATGTGACTCGTTCTCGTCCATGTCCTAGTATTCTATAAATATATAAATATTTTGTATATTTTAAGTGTTTGTTTTTATGTTTAATTATTTTTTTTTTTTTGTTATGTGTAATGTAAATTAAGATTTTTTATATTTTACTTTTTTTAGAATATTAACAAAACCAATACTACTTAATATTAATAACTCTTTATTAATAAAATATATTTTATTTTATTTAACAAAAACATTTATGTATTTAAATATTATTAACACAGGTTATAGGTTGTATATAATAATGACTATAATTTATATATAAACATATTGTATTGTCAAATTATTGTCTGGTAGTTTATTTAAGTGTTTTTTTAATAAATCGTTACGATTAATAGAAAATAGAACCTGCTACTGTTATTAAGTCAATATATAAAATTTTACATTTCAAAATATTTTTAGCCTATAGAGCCTATAGATCTCGCTTTTTTGGTTTTGATGAGAATTTTGCATCTGAGGGCCTGGTACAATAGCCCTGAAGTAAATCTCACGAATACAGAGTTGGTACTGTTCGCCTAGAGTATATGTAACAGTTCTGGAATTCTCTGGAAGCAAAATATCTTGGAATCTTTGCTGACCTTCAGTTAACATGAAAAACGAAAGTCAAAGACCGTACAAAAAAAAGAAGATCCTTTTGCACTTTATTCTTGATATTAGACTTGACCTATTTTAGTAAAAATATTTTTGCAATGAACAACTTTATTTGCGAACAAAAACATAAACATCCTTATTCTGGATATTTGCTAGGGAGATATCTCGCAGGTAAATCACTTTTTGCTTTCACATTCTCGCCTTATTCTAAATGAATAGGGCGATACAAAAAAAGGGAGATGCGGATTCGAGTTTTCGAAAATGGTGGTTGAAAAAAATCGTGTTGCCATACGCTCTTTATCACGAATGCTCACGGCGAGAATTCGAATGTTTTAAATTTTTCGCGAATGATAAAGTTACAATGAATGAACAAGCATCTCGAGAATGTTCGCATTGTATGCTGGACCAGTAGGGTTCGGAGGGTTCTCCCGTTCTGGAGGCCTTTTATGAGCTTTTCTTCTAGCAGATAATCTCCTTCCTTCTTTCTCAATGATAAATGGTGACAATGATTTCTCATAATTCAGGGAACCCGCCTTATTGATCTGACATTCCTGGCAACACTTTTCCAATCGCAATTGGGTTATCCAGATTTTCCTATTCCGTCGGAGAATTAACTTTCGAATACATTTGAGGTTCTTCTTTATCTAAAAGAATTCCTTCTCGGTAATCGTACTCCTGTCCCGCTCGACGAACCAGATACAGGAGTCAACTGTTCTTCGGCAGATATTTTTGTAGGGTGCTTCCTAATTATTGACACATTTGATGATTGTTGTCGTAGCGGTCTTGTTTTCCCTGAAATATTTCGATGGGTTTAGTTTTTAATTTTGAACGTGTGTCTACTATTTGTTTGTGGATTGAATCGCATGTTGGATGTAGGTGGTTGATGAAAAAAATTATGGATGGTTATTGGATTATGTGTGGAGTGATAGGTATAATGAGAAGGGATGTGTAGTGGTAAAATTTTTAGTTGGGAGTTTAGTTACAGATCAATGGGACGAAGTGGTCGAAAAATTAATTGTTAAAGCCGATCTTGTAGAGGTCGAGACTGCCATGCCAAGGCAGCCACATCAGTCAAAAGGTATTCGTTATCGTTTTGTTTAAGAACGCCTTTGCCTGAAGTTTCGATGGGAGTTTGGAGCTTGAGTTCGACCATGACATGGACTCATACCATGGTATAGATTCGATAAACTAAGTCTGAAGAACTTGTTGAGTCGGCCAGTTATTAACAAGGATCCGCATCGAATACACTTGCTAACATAAATACAAACAGTGCAACACTAATAGACAATATGTTGCCAAACACACCAGCTGTAGGGATGTCACTTTAGGATGAAGTTGACCTAAGACCCAGGGTTTGGTTATTTCGGGATGTCAATTTCGCCTCCTAGATGGTCATTTCCTGCGAGACTCTCCCCCAAAACCCACTAAATGCGCGCGACCTGTGGAGGAGTCCTGTGAATTAAAGATTCCACGTTTTTCCGATTGTCATGAAATTTTGCATGGGCTACCCTATAAAAGTCTACAATGTCGTGTAAGGTACTTTAAATTGGGTGCAAATTTAGATATACATCGTCCGATTTCATGTACATGACACCCTACATCTATCCGATTGGCATGCATTTTTGCATCGACTAGATTGACGTGTGTGTCTAATTTGAATTGATTCGGCTTATATTTTATTTAAATACAGCTCCCATCTATAATTTCGCCGGGTACATCCAACTTCGATTATTTCTGATTTCAAAATTCAAAAAATATCCGAATAGAATAGATAGTTATATAAATACCTAAAAGATGTTGTCCTTTTTATTGAAAACATGGATGTTTTATATCTGCTCAGATACCAACTTGACGATACAATTTTTATAGAGATTTCTAAATGAATAAATCTGGTCAAATCTAGTGTGTGTGCGGTGTGGACTAAATAGGTTTATGATCATTTTTTTATAAATTATTCATATGATGACAAAAAACAATGTGTTGTTGTTTACTAACAAATATCGGAAGATATCTGCCGGTTTCTAGGCATGCGACCGACCATTTTGTTTGTCTTGTTTGTGATTTTTTATTTTTACTATCATTTCGAACATCATGGTAAACATGTTTTCTTTCGATTTTGTTAAATAACTAATTTGTTTATTATGTTGTTGTTTTTGTTGCTCTGTTTTGATTTTGCAAATGAAAAAAAAAAATAAAGGGGGCTCGTTCGCGCGAAACTTTTAAAATATGCAGTATTTTTTTTTAAATATGTCGTACAGTCAGTCACCATGCTGATGATTGGTGGTCCATGTAAACAAAAATAACAACAACACCTGTTGTATGTAACTAAGTGCTTTTATTTCAGAATGAATTTTGTTTTATTTTTTTACATATTTATAGAGTACCCGTATTGAGGTTAGTATTTTAGAGCAAAATATACATTTGATGTTTTATCTGGTTTTCTTATTTGTTGCAATAACAAAGTATTGGAATGGCTGGTTTTTAAATATTTGTCACGTCACTACTGCAAATACCAGTTCCAATTGAAGAAAAATAATAATAAGTAGAAAGAAAAAACCGAACACAAATCGAAACCTTCCATAGCTGTTCGTTCGTTCTAATATTGACCAGATGGAATCCTGTTTATTGATATATTTGCATTTTGATTCGTTTTGAAAACAATTACGACGCTGTTTTCAAAATCTCTCGATGATTCAGTTCAGTCTGACCGGTTAATGGTGGCCAATATGAAAATTCAACGAAAACTACGTATCGATTTCGTTGTGAAAGTCAAGGCAGGACATTATATAACTATTTTGATTTTCTAGCAGTTAAATAGTATTATTTAATATATTTTTTTAAGCAGTATGAGGAAAATTTTCACAGTATCACAAAACTTGGAATATTGTAGAATGTATGATATAATGGTGTAATAGTGATCTTATTCTGCGTCGAAGCAATATTTTAGCGATTCACCAGGTTACTATGGCTTAGCTGATGTAGCTACTGGTCAACTGAAAAGTATGCAGTATGAACCATAGATGTGGGGGTTTTACTATAATTTAATTCATATGAGCTTTAGTTAGCCCTAAACTTCATAAGACCCGAGAGATTCGACAGCTCTCATGTTTATAACCCCAGGATTTTGTAACGCCGCAAAATATTGGACCTAGAACCACGTTTTAGTATATCGATCACGTGTTTTATTTCTGTATGTTTTTCTGACCGCTCTATTGGTCAGAATTATGATACGAACACCACGAAATATGGCATGGGGAAGGAGATTCAGCCAAAGAAAAAGCATAATTTTTGTTTATGAAGATCGGTAAATATTTATATGGTCGAATGTACTCAGAAAATTTGACACCGGA